GTATATTACATTTCTTTCCCCTTAACATTCAAAGCGCTGTACCGGCTTTCGCACGCGAGTGGAACGTCCTTGGGGTGCACTTTCACAAACTTCACTTGAGGTCTCCGGTGGTTGTTGTGGGCTGCAATCAGCATGAACCTTCGACTTGGTTGATCGGCCTGGTGACTACCGTGGAGGAGCCGGCATGGCCTCTTTGTTGTCTGGCGGCCGTTTGCGTAGTTGGTTCACATGGCGTGTTATCACTTTGAACGGAGTTTCGACGGTTGCCATGCGTGCTCCCGTTGTCGCCGTGACTTTTCCAATAATCCACTCGTTTCCTGTCCCATAGTTTCTGGCGTACACCGGGTACCCAGGTTGGATCGTCCAGTTTGTGTCTTGAGCAGATGCTGTGGAGTGTGATGAGAAACATGTGTCTAGTCGCGAGCGAATTTGATATCCTAGAAAGAATAAAACAATTAAAACAGGGACAACACAACCACATCTTTCATGAAAGATGTGGTTGTGTTGTCCCTGTTTTAATTGTTTTATTCTTTCTTCATCCATGACTTAAACCAACACGCTCTTCTCCCAAGCATTGATATCCTAGCAGCAGTTCGGATGGTTGACTTTCCAGAGCTTGATGGTGTCCTTCTATAATTAAAAAGAAGCTTGCCAGGCTGGTTGTAATGTCGTCGTTTTGTATTTTCTTCCACCCATCTTTTATTGTTCTTACCATGCGTTCCGCCAGATCATTTGACTGTGGGTGAAATAATGCGGTCCTGATGTGCGTTATGTTGTTTTTCGACGTGAACTTCAAGAACGGCACTGGTGAAAGGTGTACCATTATCCCAGATCAAAGTGCGGGGTATCCCCGGAGAGGCTAAACACATCTCGCAAACAACACACTGTATTTGCGCGTATGACCTGTTTTATAGGAACGGCCTCGATCCACTACTGTGTGCATCGACCACTACTAAGATCATTTTTTCTCTAAAAGTCCCTAGAAAATCAACATGTACTCTGGACCAGTTTTCGTGTGTTCCGGGCCAGTTAATTGGTGCCTTTGACGCTGGCATGGGCAACATTTTGACACAGGCATCACACGTCACTGACGTGTGCTCTATTTCTTTGTCCAGTCCAGGCCACCAAAATTGAGATCTTACTATCGCTTTCATAGCCGACGCTCCCTGATGGCTCTCGTAAAGGAGTTGTAGGAGGCGCCCCCGAGCCTCCCTAGGCACAATGACGCGGTGGCCCCAGTATACCAGGTCGTGCGCCACCAACAGTTCTAGTTTCCTTCCGTAAAACGGTTGAATGTTCGAGTCTAGGCTCTTCTCGCATTTGGGCCATCCATTTATGATGTAGTTCTTGACCTGCGCTAACACTTGTCTGTCATTTGTTTCAACTCCCTGGTTGTCACGACACCCTCCTCTAACTGCTCCATAGCAAGCACATATTCGGGAAGCTCACCTTCAGCACCTGTTTCCGTTCCTGCTGTTGCTACTGCCGGTAGCGGTATCCTGCTCAGGGCATCCGCATTCAGCATTTTTTTGCCAGGCTTGTATTGTAACTTGTAGTGGTAGCTTCCCAAAAGCAGCGCCCATCGTTGAATTCGCGCCGCAGCCATAGTGGGAGTCGGGCAGGCGGATCTCAACAACCTAAGGAGCGGCTGATGATCCGTGACCAGGGTGAACTCATGTCCAAATAGGTAGCCTCTAAACTTCGTTACACCGAAGACCAGAGCGAGAGTTTCTCGCTCTAATTGAGAATAATTTATTTCGGCGGATGATAGAGTTCTTAATCGCAACCCGATGGGTTTGTCTTCTCCACTTTCTCGGAGAAAAAGAATTGCTCCGATGCCGAACGGTGAGGCGTCGCACTCTAGTCGCAGTTCTTTCGCTGGACTAAAATGCGTTAACACCTTTGTCGAGCTGAGAGCTTCTTTTGCTTTCTGAAACACCGCATCGTGTGCTTCACCCCACGTCCAGCAAGCTCCCTTTTCCAGCAATTTGTAGAGGCTTGTCAACAAGGTTGACATGTTGGGAACAAATCTGGCGTAAAACGTCAGCATTCCCAAAAAAGACCGCAGCTGGCTTACGTTCTTGGGCTGCGGTGCTTGCACGATGGCTTCCACTTTCGTTTCTAGCGGATGAAGGCCCTGTCCGTCAATATGGTGTCCGAGGTACGTAACCTCCTGTTCCTTGAATCTGCACTTCTCTTTCCGGAGTTTCACGCGGTGGTCCTTGAAACGTTGTAGATGTGCTCTCAGCTGTAAGGCATTGCCATCTGCTCGTTCGGACAATATCACGTCGTCCAGGTATGCCTGCACGCCTTTTAGTCGCCGGAGCATGGTCTCCATCGTCCGCTGAAATATAGCCGGTGCCGATGATATTCCGAAAGGCAAGCGGTTGTAGCAGAAGAGCCCACGGTGTGTGTTGATCAAAGCCGTCTTCTTCAATGCGTCGTCAAGGACTACTTGGTTGTACGCATCCCGTAGATCCAAGGTGCTAAAACAATCGCCGCCGTTCAGACATGCGAACAGATCCTCGATGCGTGGCAGGGGCTACTGCACGACTTCACACGCAAGGTTAGGGTCGCCTTGAGGTCCCCGCAGATGCGCACCAAGCCGTCCTTCTTCAGCACCGGAACGATTGGTGTAGCTCATTCTTAGTGTGTGACCGGCGAAATAATTCCGACTTCCAATAATCGGTCAAGTTCTGCTGAAACCTTATCTTTCAGACCATAAGGAAGCGGTCTTGCCTTGCAAAACTTCGGTGTGGTACGCTCCTTATTGTGCAGTCGAGCAGGTGGTCCCGTGATCAGCCCGATGCCCGGAGTAAACAGATCTTGAAACTCGCAGAGAACCGCCTCCGGATCTTTCACGATGACTGGTCTGCTACTCAGCGGCACGACATTGCCTGTAAGGCTTAACACAGAAGTGCCGGCCTTGTTCAGCTTGAAAATTAAATCATGTCCACACAAACATGGACCGCACCAATTCAACACAGCCAAACTGCACTCTACTAGGGTGCCTCGGTACGAGACTTGCATGTGTAGCTCACCCAACATGGGTATTCTTCCTAGGTAGCAGGACAGTTGCACCTGCGATGCTTGAATCTTAGGCCAGCGTTCACGGTGCTGAGTGTAGACGTCCCGCGAGATAACACAGAAGAGTGATCCAGTGTCTACTTCCTTCAGCAGATCGACTCCGCCCCAAGAGAACTTGCGTCGCACTGCTGGAAATAGATCCACTGTTTCAGTCTTCAAGCTCCATATCTCCACATATTCGGTTTCCGTTTCCTCCGACGAACTCTCCGCTGCTTCTATTGCTTCGGCTTGTACATGCGGCCTGGAATATGACCTCTGTTGCCCAGGATGTTTACAGTTCCGGGCCCAGTGACCACATTTTCCGCAGTGGAAACACGTTCCTTTGTACTGGCAGCGGTTACCTTCGTGCTCTCGGCATTCACAGTACTCACAAACCCTTTTCTGTTGTTGCTGTGGGCGAAATTTGTCGGACCTCTTTCCTTGGACCTTCATCCTGAGGACTTCCGATTGTTCATCCCAAGTCATTTTTTTGACGTCCAATCCAGCAGCTTCAGCCGCTACGGCTAGCGCTTCTGCGTCTGCTAATGTTAGTTGCCTTTTTGACAGCAGTTGCTTCTGAAGGTTCTTTGACCGCACGCCACAGACGATCCTGTCTCTCAGCATTTTGTTCAACATCGCCAAAAAAATTGCAGTTATCCGCTATTCTGCGGATTTCGACTATAAATTCGTGAATCGACTCTCCCTCTTTTAGACAACGATTGAAAAACCTAAAGCTCTCAAATATTTCGCTTGGCTTCGGATCGTAGTGCTCATCTAGAACTGCTACCACCTCAGCATACGTTCGAGCATTAGGTTTTTGTTGAGCCACTCTTCCACAGAGTACTCGAAGTGTGTTGGTACCTAGTGCCGCTACGAGCAATGCTGGTCTCTTCGCGTCATTTGTAACCTCATTGCCCTCAAAGTAAGCCTCTACCTTGATGAGGTACGTACTCCATTTGTCCTTGTCTTCGTCAAACTCAGGCAGCTGGTTATTCATCTTTGAAAAAACCGCAGACTGGTGCGCTCTTAGGATGGACGAAGGATCCCCCTCGCTGTGGGTGTCTTCATTGCCCTGGCTCGTCGCCACTGTTATAAACTAGAACTCCGGAGCCGACGAGACAATATGGAGACGTGTAGCGGTTTCAGAACACAGCAGTCTTCCTCTTTATTTTTCACGCGGCTTTTTCTGTGGCGAGGACCCACTCCGTAGATATGAAGATCTCGCGACATTGACTAGTATATATATATATACATTTTTCATTGTCGACTCCACTTAGCTCACAAAATATTTAACGGTATTTAAAAGCATAAGATAGTTTAAGTCACCAGGTTTATAACTGCCAAAAACAATCCCTCCTTAACTAACATTAACCAGGTGAAGAGATTTAAGATCATAGAACTCAAGCATAAGGCTATAATTGACCAGCAAGAATTTCACTTGATTTTATTCTAAACGGTACTGCGCCAATCGTTACAGTAGCCATTATAGACAATATCGCCACTACGCTGATAACCTGGTTATTCACTTAAAAAACTCACTATTATATTGACTATTCTTCCGCGCGTATTAAATGCTGGCAGTCCTTGTGCACTAAAGTCTCTTCTCCTGGTAAATCGGAAGCAAAAGAGGATTAGACAAGCTAATCAAGACCTGTCTAGAAGGTGTAATCAAAGCGAATAAAATATTAAACAAGACAGACGTCTATTACATTTCATTCATCTTCACAAAACTGGTGTTTGGGGTCTTAGTTTTTCAGCAATAAAATCAATATTAAATATGTTTTGTTCCTGTTAACGCTCAAGGAATAAACTGCAGTGCGTAGCTCGCGTTTTTGGCATAGCATTCATGTTTTTTTTTTGTTTTTTTTTTATTTGTATGTTAAGCAAAAGTACATAAAACACCAATCTGCTAATGTTTTGAAAAATTCTTTCAGGTTATTCGCGGACGAATGAAAACAACGAAATCAAGCGGCTATTGAAGGAAAAGTTCGGTAAATGGCCGAAGAAGGTTCAACATAAATCCAAAACTGTTGAATCTACAAAGCTGCTAAAGGAAGTCGGTTTCCTTGGTCTTCTTGGAATTACTGTAGATATCAATGTAAATGATAACAGTAAATACGCTATTGTCGTAAGTATGTTTCCACTATAAAACCGACTAGGTATGAGTTGATAAATGAAAAAGAAAACGTTTAATTAAACAATTAAACTGCCTGATAAGGCACGTTTCCTTCACCTTAGACGTAATTTAGTTGGAGGTCACGGTCCTCTCTAAGCCCGCCCACAGATAAGTGGACCCGCCATTACTACTGGATCAGCTTGATTGTTCGGTCGAACATGATCGGAAGCCTACTGTTTCCCTGTCACGTCAACCGCTGCGTCTAATTTGCCCTCTGACACCGCCTGCTAGTCGTGCGAGCAGACGCGCGGCAGCCTGCGGCATAGTCTGCCATTCCACCACCGTTTGTCATCATCTGTAACGTTTCCGGCCGTCTGCTATTCTGCCCCTGTTTAAAACCGTCTGCAACGCTTTCCAGACACGACCAAGAAACTGGCTCCGCAGCAGTCCTTCACATATGAGCCACGGTCCAATACAAGATCTGCAGGCATCTGTGGATGTGCGATAAAAAGCGACCTAAAGAACTAAAAATTATACAGAATAAGTCTGCAATTCTTTCTGATTTGTTGTTGTTGTTGTTGATTTTTTTTATTGCGTCCGCGAGCATTTTGGGTGAGCGCCATTACGTACTACAATTAAAATGCGATCTAAACATATTCGCTCTAGTAAGCCATACGACTGCACAAAGCTTGAGAGCTACAAGCCTTCCGAAGCGAAATGTCGAAACAGAACTGGACAAACCTGACGCGAAGCAAACACTCAATTCCTTCAAAAAAAAAAGGGGGGGCTCACAACTCCTTACCTGTGTGGGTTACCTTTCGGTACTTAAGCCATGCTAGTAATCAAGACGATTGCACTGTTCTCAGAGTAGGAGGGACGCTTTTACGGCAACGGACGTATGGCATCAAAGTGCGCAAACGAAGAAATCAGGTCAGATCAAGCAAAATAGTTGACGTGGGAGGCCAGGCTTACGCAAGCCCGGCCACGTCAACTATTTTACGTCCAGGGAGTACGTCCAGGGAGGTCCTACTTTGAATATCTAGGTGAACGCGAAACGACTCGCACTCATAAAAACTAGACAAACTCATCGAGTCACGCGGTGTGAGAAACTTCTCGCCGCAGATGCCAGCAGCCATGTTTGTTCTTTGAACCCAAAGTAGAAAGTAGTATCTCATCATATTTTGAAAACTATGACTCTATCTCTAAAGTGTGTCTCTCAAACTCTAGAAAATGTCAAATAAACGACTTCTGCAGCTTGGTAAAACTTTGTTTTCAACGAACATTCCCTACGTCAATTAACTCTACATCCAGTGAGAGCCAGGAAACGGAGCTCACCTAGCTAAGCGCCTTATGTTATGGGCTGGGCGTAGATAATGTCTAGCTCCACCTGATGTGTGTCTAACGGCGTAAATATTGAGGCGAACAATTTTCCCCCGTCGAATTTTATCTTTTTTATGTGTTTTATTTACGTCCTTTAAGTCATTATTTTATTTCAACGTTTCTTTAAGTTATAAAAATAATTGTTTATATACAATAGCATAAATGCGTTTTTGTTTTGTACGATAAACCTAATATTCTTAATCCTTTTGATGTTTCTAGTTCTTGAGAAAAGTTTGCTTTAGTTTACTGAAAACACTAGAGGGTATGTTGCTCTAAAATTGTGTGTCCAACATAATAAAAAATTTGGTATCTGACATTGATCATATTTCAGCAATGGCAGAGGGTAGACGAAAGTTAACCTACAGATACCTTTATACTCAATCAGCCATAATCACCAGTCGTGACAAACTTCCGCTCTTTAAAAGTTAGTAGCACGTCTACGTAGTCGTGAGCTAAACGAAGAATCGTCGACTAGGGTGCGACTTGCAGCGACTAATAGACCCTGCGGGATTCGCGACCGCGAAGCAAGTGGGTTACCATCTATTCGGGAGTGACAAGCCGAAGTGACATAAAAAGATAAGTCACCCATGCAGATACTTTCAGACACCATTACGTGAATGGGGATTTCATCACGTAAAAGCTAATAGTTAAATATCTATTAGCAAAATAAATTCCTATAACGAGAGGCTAATGTCTGTCCGGGATAGTGTTTTTTTAAAGTAAGTAAAAAAAACTGAAGAGAGAAAACACGAAAGCCGCATTGCCAGCGACTTACGCAAATATGAAAGCACCATTAATGCTGGCTCTTTTGTCGTCCAGCGCCTTTTTAATTTCGCTTTAACGCTCTCTCTGCTGCTCCGATTCTTTCTGGATGTGCCCCACAGGGTTCCAGGACAGCAAGGACATCAGTAACGCTGGCGGTCAGTGTTGATGGGAGTCAGCCATGGCGCCGAGCTGCTAGTAACCCGCTAAACACCGACTTAACTAGCTGTACCCCCGATTGCGATTTTTCAGTCGCCTTCCAAGTCGCCCCGGGTGATTAATCCTTAAACTGAGTCGGTGAATACCGAGGGCTTACTTAGCTGTGATGACCACCTGTGACGTAATCATTTTAATCGATGACTTTGTTAGTAAGCAATTAAACAGACGCGTCTGAAGTATACGGCTGAATACTTTTACAAAAATCCCATTAATTTGATCTTAAAAGAAGTTACGGCGCAAATATAAAAGAAACTTTACTTATGACATTTCGTAAGCCTGAGTGATAAGGAATAAATTTTCTACGGGGAGGACTGATCACACAAATTTCGCAGAACTCGGAGTAAAAAAAACGGCTGTATCATGAGACCGAAAGTGAACTCCTTCATCTGGTTTCTTTTACAATTTTTACAGTGATTACACATGGCGTACTTAAAGATGTAACATATCCCTATAAATTTAGAAGGAAGGTCGAATTCCAGAACTTAAGTCTTTTCGTACTACTAAAGGCAGCTTTTAGGGACATACGTCTCCTTCTGCTGGTATTGAGAGCTATAAATAAAAAATTATGCATTCATTTGAGTAGATCCCGAACAAATATGGGTGTGTGCAGAGAACTTCGAACGCTCACTAATTTGATTCAATTTAAATGTCTTACAATACCACTTTTGTTCTGCAGCATTCTGCCCTACTAGCACCAGTTGAGTAATGTGTCTGAACGTATTTTTAGCTTCAACTGTTAATCAGGAATACCACTTCTGAGCTCACATTATTCTTTTTTTGTTATTTGGAATAAAAAAAAAGATTAAGAATCTACTAAGGCAACCTTAAACCTACCAAAAATAATTTTTATTGACTCTATAGAACACGTGCAAAAAGCGCCAAGCTAGCGTTAGAAAAAGTAGGATGATAATCTAATCATCCTCGTTTTTCCACTGCTAGCTTTGTGCTTGCTGCACGAGTATCTTTAGCGCTCCACCGCGCTTCCCAAGTGCTTGAATCTTCAGACGCATGACTGATTTAGTGGTTTTCGATGACGCTCAGCAAGTTTCTAATTGAATCATATGTTTTTCTTTAATAATGTAAAAATGTAAGTAGGAAAACTTCATTAGTTACCTTGCTTATACGGAGGATTATTCTTCTGTGTTCTGCCCCTCTGGCCGTTTAAGTCACCTGCACAAAGCCCATTAGTGTACCTTTCATGTATAGTTTGTGATAAATATGTTGGAATTAATTTTAAACATCCTATATCAAAAACGTGAGGAAACCAAGGAAAGGGCCTTGTGTAACAGCGGCGTTACAAGGGAAAGAGACCGAGTTCTTACCTTTTACGGTTACGTATTGCAATCGGTTAGTTAAAGAACTCTTCCGAAAATAAATGCTGGGTTCTTATTAAGAGCACTAAGCCTATGTATTCATGGGATATTTCGTCGAACACCTTTGAGAAGTAAAATAAAATGCCGTCAGTCTGATATCTCCCAGCAAGGGCAGAATGGATATGTTATTAATCTATACTGGTGAAAACTTAATCTGGCAAAAAATTGTATTAAAAATTTTTAATTGAAAATTAAAAATTAATTTATGAAGGAATCTATGCTGGTCAAAACTAAAAGAAAAAGTGGTCCTTAAGAAGTGTGATACATCTGGTGACATGGTCTACTCAAATATTTTGAAAATATTGACCTATTATTTGTAAGGAGAAATGGAGACAGGTTTGCAGATTGCGACTTCATCATTTTAGTTATTTTGTATAGCACCATAATTCAGTAATTGTTGTAGCAAAGACCAGGATGTAAAAAGAAAAGCTATTTTTAGTGTTTTCAAAGCATTGCGTGCTTATTTCGTCACCTCCCGAGACCAAAAGCATATTGGGGTTACTGTTATCTTAGCAATACCGCTAGCGTTAAAAGCAATGCAAACATGGTGTAGAAATCTGAACGAGGTAATACAAATTAACTGGCATTTACCATATCTCTAAAGGGGTTAAGAAAGCATTCACTTAGCAAAATTACACAATCTTTGTACAAACATGGTTCTCCTTCAGCATTATTTTTTGGCATTGCATTTATGACTATCTTAACGATTAATAATGTTCATGAACTGTGCTTTGTGTTGTTAATAAGAACCAATGGTTCTTCTGAGTTGAAAAACAAATGTTTAAGAAAAATTGATAGCCGTTGCTGTCCAGCGCTTTGGGACATCAGGTCATCGAGGCTCTAGGTTCCCTGAACAAGCGCTTCTATTTTACCAAAGTTTCAGATCAGGCTTACACCAATATGACTTTAACCTTTATTTTGCAACACGTCGAGGAATCTACTTGGTAGACAATTATGTATCTTTTTTTTTAAGTTGAGACCCCTTAGTTTCAACAATTATCGCTAATAGATACTATAGGTACAAGTGCAAACGTGATAAAAAATTCCTTCGATCTTTATAACTATATGAAATATTCAATCAACACGAAGACTTGGCAGAGTGAGAATTTCTTCCGCGAGTTTACAAGATTTGTTTACATAAGAAGAAGAGCACTGGCAGTCGAGGATGCGATTCTCGTTCGCTCAGTAACCAGTTGCGCGAAATTCAAGTATTGACAAAGGCATAAGAACTTGTTGCTTTCAAATAAATACGAAAGGAAGAGGAACATATTGAAACCACATAATATTCCTGTAGCTATTATTGCAAAATCTAAATGGGAGTTTGGAAATCCTGGACAGAACACACCGATACAACTCGATACAGTTCGAGAAAACGCTACGAGGCCAATGAAAAGTGCATTGGATAATGTGTTGGTGGTTTAGTGGCAAACGCACACATACCAGTTCTAAGCTAAGCACAATGTTAACAAAAATGACTCAGTTTAATCAGGAGTTGACTCCACAACGTATTCACCTGTTCGTGGCTTGTCCTACCGATTTACTGTTTACTCCTAATCACAAATGCACATTTTATGAGCTCGCATTTTCTTGGAGAACCCTGTCTCTCTTTGAGAGAGAAGAGGCCAGACCCAGCAAAACAACAATTAATAACTTAATACGAAAGGGAAAAAATACGATTCACAAATAATCATAAATAACCGAATAATTTTTCCAAGTTTGTTCCAATGCGAAGGATGAGCTGCCTCCCTGTTTTTCTTTTTAATTGACTTTAAGAACTAAAGAAACTTTTGGTCAATTACGGCCCTCATTTTCTTTTATTTTAAATCAGATTAAACCTGTTATACCGTCAGGTGGTGCAGGTCGAGAGAAACAGTTTATTTACTCTATTTTTAGCTCTCACTTCGAAATTGATTAAGTGAGCATTACGATGACAGCTAAACATAAATCGGTAACAGAGCAAAATTTGACGCGTTTTTATTACACTTAGAATATTTCTGAAGAAAACTGAGGCGTTTATTTGAATCACGCTCCAAAAAAACAGCATTGAATTGATATGATTGTGGAGGCACTTGCTATATTTACTGCTGAATAGGCGTATTAGGTGCAACTCTTTCTGTAATACTAGTTTGTTTATACAATCGGTCACGTGAGACAGAGTAATCAGAGCACGTCCTAATCAAATTAAATATATTTTGCCTTACCTTAAAATGCCATCAAATTTCTTGTGATTCCGCGAATTTGAAGTTTCCTGGCGGGCGTTGCATTGTGCCTGTCAGAATTTCTTGTTCACTGAAAGGTATGTGCTCTACATTAAGCCTTCATGAGTTTTATGAACAAAATCCTTTTTTGATTTGTTTTGGGCTTTTGATGTAGTGAATTTTGTAGTGAAACACTTTTTTCGTAAAAACGCACGAAGTCGGTGTGCGCAAATACCTGTTCTCTGCTTTCCTGAGCTTAGAACCTCGGAAAGGGGAGAGAATACATTATGCTGAGATTTAACCAGTACACAGAAGGCCAGTCATTTAAATTATAAAACAATAAATTGTGTCGCCAAGAAAGATCTTCCAGGTCATCTGAAAGAGCAGGCAAAGAATCATTATCTTTCCGAACTTCTAAAACCTCACGGAAAATTCGTAGTTGTTATTTTAAGCTTTGCGTGTGCACATTGAGGATGGTTACAGTCCTCAGTAATTTTTACTTACATCTGCAGTAGCTGCGTTTTTATTTGATGAACATCCCTGAGAGGTCTTTAGCGAACTTCTTGAAAAACTTGGCACATCTCGTCAAGTTGCTTGACTCGCATAGCCGAGCCTTAATTTTCCTTGATGTCGCTGCACAAAATGAGCCTCACTCATGGGCACTAACACACTAAAAAGTACACATCGCTTGATTGTTTAGAAAAATTCTGGAAATGAGCATTGCTATCCTGCACAAAGAAGCGATTTACGGAGCGTTACAGATCTTAGGGTGTCCTGTGCCCATTGAACGTATAGAAGGTAGGGTCCTTTCAACGTGTGGTGCTGCTGATGCCGTTGACAATATCACTGGCCTGCTGTAAAATTGGGATAGAATGGAGACCTTGATCAGCGATAGATGAGGTTGCGATATGTTCTAGTTGATGGCAAATAGCTTATATGCCACTGTCCTTGTGTGAGCACGTAAGCTCGGAAGGACTGATTATGTTGGTATGGTGAAGCACGTGCGAACCATCTGAACGCAAAAGTAGCAACAGCATACGTCATCCACATCGTAGTACATTTACCCTGAGTACTCTCTTTGGGGTGGTAGTTTTCTGCTGGACAATTTTATTTGAACTCTCTGCCACGGGGCAATGTACAAAAAATCACCATATAAATACGCGTATGACACACTACCAGAAGCAGCGAACAGTACTATGAGCTTCATTCTAAAAAATGACCCGCTGCAGAATAATCGAGCGTGGAGCCAAAACTTAAATTCTTTCGTTGAGATAAATTTCAGCTTGCTAAAAACTCTACAATTTCAACTAAAATGTAAATAATGAATTCACTTCTTTATTTTTCGCAAGATGCTACAGGCCCTTTAGATTACTTCTGCAGCGGGGGTACGAGCTGCAGAAATAAAACTACAAGAAAGACATAAAACTACTTATTTCATTTACTGGTTTACATATTTTGTAGTTTAAACAATTTCTCTTAGTCATTGTTAGAACAAAAAATAAAAGCCGCTTACAACTCTCTGTAACACCGAATTAGAGCGCAGCTCTTGAGGAGGAGGAGGGAAGGGTACTGAGGGGAGCGTATACCCCTCCGCCCTCCTCCTCAGCTCCTCATCCTGCTACTCTGAGCGGCGTCGGCGTCACCGTCGCCGTCGGCTTAACTGTGAGGTCGCGTGACTTTCGTCTCGTGACCTCAAGGAGGTCACGTGACATCACCGGGGTCACGTGACGTCACCGGGGTCACGCGACCTTACGGGGGTCACGTGACCTCACAAGGTTCATGTGACGTCACCGTGGTCACGTGACCTCACGAGCGTCATGTGACGTCACTGGGGTAACGTGACCTCACGGTTACGCCGACGCCGACGGCGATGGGAACGGCGACGCCGACGCCACTCAAGCCGGAAACGGCCGCCTAGGAGATGCGCTCTAAAAGCATTAATGTACATGTTTTGATCTTAGTTTAACATGTCTGCAAGGGTAAATGACAAACCACGTTAAGCATGTAACTCTGAGAAGAAACAAATCAAATGAATGGTAAAACTTTTAGGACTATTCAAACCTTTAGGTGCCTCTTCACTGGCGCACATTGGAAGTGTTAGCGGTGCGTGTTTTAATTAATAATTGAGGGGTGTGTTTCTCCTACCCTTATTGATCTGATTAATGAAGTGTTCCACTTAATGAACACCAAAACAAAAGAAAGAATTCACCCATCCAGATCATCAGAATAGTCATAAAGAGCGAATATAGTAAACAAATACGTATAATATTTCAGATGAGGGAACCGGTGACTGATCCGCTAAGTGGGCAAGCTTTCCAGGCATTAACTAGAGTGCAAAAAATTGTCTACAAGGAGTATATTGAGCGAATGATAACTACAATTGACCCGAGATTCACAGAGGCACAAAACGTCGCCAGTTCTATTTTTGACTTGGAGGATGAACTTTCATTTGTAAGTATTGTGTTTCCTTTTTCATGTTCAGCGCTTTTATAAAATCAGCATGCATGCACGTTGGTGGTGATGGCGCATTATATAGAGTTATGGCATAGGTGGTACGTTTTATTTCAATTCGAACAAATTTGTCATGTTCGGTCACCAGACTTGGCGCTTTCTTCAAAGATACGGCGCTCCGCAAATTGACTGCTAATACATTGCTGGAAACAGAAACGGATTCAGCATTCGTACATCACTTCATATTACAGAACTAATATAATAATAATAATAATAATAATAATAATAAATCTTTATTTTACGTGCCCACAAACAACTTTAGAGTCTATGATGTGGTGCACACAAGGAAAATTAAAATACAACACTATCAAACATTAAAATACTTGTCACAATGAAAATATAAACAGATAACAGAAACTGACAGACTATACAGAACCCGCCTTACAATAGGTAATTCAAGTACATCCACTTTCGCATATAAAACATAAACTGGTTTGAACAAAGAAATATGTCAAGATGGGTCTTATTAAATGCTAATTGGATTCTCGATAAAGGAGACACTGACATACAAGATGGGTAAAATGTTAGTACATTCCTACTAACCCTTGACGGAACATGAAAGTCTATGAAACGCAACAGATCAATTGAATTCACTTCTCCGTGTACAACCTTGTGAAGAAATATAAAATCTCTGTATTGCCTCCGCACAGCAAGCTTGTGCAACGCAAATCGAACAAGTAATATTTCATAATGGTAAAAATATTTCCTTTCAATATAGCGGTCATGCACAATTCTAATCATTCGTTTTTGTATATTTTCTATTGAAAGAGCCTGAGTTAACGTTAATGAATTACAAATGATTGAGCCAAATTCTAGTCTTGACCTCACTAATGTCTTAAACAAGTGCAGTAAACAACATGGTGTAGAAAACTGACGACACAACCGTGAAATCATTCCCAACACTCTCAGTGCTGCATTAACGGTTATAGACACGTGATTATTAAAGGATAGTGAACTATCAATGAATACACCAAGATCCTTGATAAAAAGAACCCGAGGAATCGGGGCCCCTCCCAAATTATATAAAAAATAAAGTATGTCACGCTTTCTGGATAACATAATTGATTTAGTTTTCATGGGGTTAAGTGACAAGCTTTTTTTGGCACACCACTCAGAAACACAAATATAAACGTGTTGGAGCCAAGAAAACTGAACTTTTTTAACCACTTTTTTTTGTCTGGCAATTTATCACTCTGCAAGCCCCTAAAATTTAAGTATAATCAAACTTAAAATTCTCTGGCCAGAGTTCGTTAATTTTTTACTTAAATTGCCAAACAATAGTAAGAGTTAGGCGCTAGTGCCTGGTCGTTCGGTTCTCACCTGGCTTCATGGGATATTGTTTAGTGCTTTGGCAATTATATGGCAAACAAAACAGAAACACCGTAGAAAGGGAAAACGTTACTTTGGCAATGACTATCACCTTTAATCACAACCTTATTAACCCCAAGGTAGGCCCCTGGAATGCCGAACTGGTTCCATGTTTCGGGTCTCTCTGGCGCGCTATCTGTGTGGTTTCTACGGCACTGCTTAACGTTTTATACCGGAGATGTTACAAGGGTGTCACAGGGGTTATCATTGCAGTAACGTAGCAATGCCTGAAAGCAACTTGTTCAATGTTTTGAGCAAAGGAGCTTCGTCGAAGCACTGAGCTTGGTCCAATATCGTTAAATCTTACCGTTCTCTGAACCAGTTGTTACCTCACTGTGGCTGATGACGAAATCAAGCTCGGCATCACAAGCGCTTTTTTCGCCAGCAAGCTACTTCGCGGTATATCAAATTGCGTGGAGGAACCACAGCGGTTAGAAGAAATACAGTGTTAAACCAAGGCTACATTCCGTGCCGAGCATTTATTCAGCGCTGTGATTCATGTGTCAACCCGGCTTAACTCGAAACAAAACTTATGAGATAGTCTTTTTTCTGTAATTAACTAAACTAATTTTGAAAACTGCATGAAGACGATTGGAGAGAATCAATTAGAATTCACTGCGTGGAAAACTGTAGAGAAATGTTGATTTGATTGTTTTTATATTTAGCCGTTGTTTACAGACAATTGTGTTTATGCAATTATCCTTTATTCTTTGCCGTAGTAGAGCTTGCGACTCACGAATTTTTATAGGAAAACACTAGGGGTTTATTAATTGAGCATTTGTACAACACAAACGGGCAAGCTTGTGCAATTTGCCTTAAATTCAGAAAGCTGTAGAAAATGAGCTGCTAAAAACAGGAACGTACAACTATCATTATGCGAGAGCGCAGTTGCTGAGTCGGCTGAGTTGGTGTTTAGGCAAATTGGAGATACGCTTGTAATCACAGAAAATGAAGCCGACAAAGCAACGAGGCTCCTGATTGCACTTCGTACTACCTGCTCGTGCATCCCGCTCCCGTGATTTGCTCTTGATCCTGAACGTAACTAAAACAGATTGACACCCTTGTATTTTTCTAATAAACTCAAACATAATCACCTCTGTCCCTTATTCAGGGACAGAGGTGATTATTACACGAATAAATACTAACACTATTACATTCAATTTATTATTCAGACGCGCAACAGAAAGCCTTCATTTTTCACCAAACCATGTGTGCATTTCTGGCTTTCCAAGCTAAAAAAACATTCATTGGGCGTTTTCAGATGACATTGAACCATGTCCGGTAACCATTTTTAATATTGATGAAAAAATATATTTTGTTGGCAAGCTCAAAAGAATAAAACCTTTTTTTGTTTTAAGCAAAAAAATGTTTTCCTTGCGAAAAACATCCGTAAGCACCCTCTCAGTCAAATTCGCGTTTTGCGTATTGCGCGTTGTTAACATTTCGGGCGGCTTCCCCAAGAAATCCTCTTATGGCTACGACTCTAGAAATATTCACTAACAAATTAGGCGTAGCAAAGATTGACAAAAAGTATTAATCACCGAGTATTAGGGTAGTTAGTTTGAGAAAAAAAAATCCCACACACGGCACATTGCGCAATATTTCTCTTGATTAAAGAATGTTTTTCTTCGTATCCATAAAAGCTAAGGTCTTCAAACTTTGCCAATAAGTTTCCCTGTATATATTTGATCTTTGCGTTAAATATTGTTGTCCTGGTTAGCGGGAGAAATTTACAAGAATTGCTCACACAAATGCATTTAACTAAAAATGCATTTTTTGGAAAAATGTTTGAATAAAAAGGCCATCTTTAATATTCTTTAAACTCCCTGAGATTAACGTTTGTAATGTGTACTAGCAGATTCTGCAGAAACATTATGCAATATTTCCGTGGCTTTTAAGTTATAAAGAGGGAAACGTTGCCAAATTGACGCTAAAGTGGTTGCCATAAGGGGGGCGTGCACATACCCGTTCTTCAAAATTTCATTATTAATAAAAATCGAAAAAATGCAACGGAGTGGTCAGGAAAAGACAAATTAATAGCACAGAGGAGGACGGCAGCTTTAAAAGAGAAATCTTTGACACATTTTCGTACAACCGATCCAAAAATGTCCATGGGCCGGAGCGATCGAGGTGCGCCAGCTTCGCTTTGCGGTGCCTGTTTCAACAGCCGGCGTATAGCGCCTCCATTTACGCAACGTAAAGCAAGCAACCGAAACGACTTTGCAGAGAGATCAGCCTACAATCTTGGTGGTAACATGATATAAGAAGTAGGGCGCGGCAGAGCCTGAACCTGCGCCGCCTGTAAGCGCCAATAGATCCGCCGCCTTGAAGTGCCGCACAACGCGTAGAAAATAGATACATAAAAAAGGAACAAGAAATGCGATTGAAGGAGATTGTCTGTAGCTTAATTTATAAGACAACGGTTTGGAGAAACGTGAAATCTAATCTGGGTAGGCTCGTGTGGCCTACGTAATAAGTGATGATGCAGCAAGCCACTTTCAGAGCAAGTACCAACTACACGAGCTGCAGAGCCACAAATACACGTCAGCGATGTTGTTGTTTTTTTCCCGCAACTTGACATGGCAAAGAGTGCCTGTGATTGAATCGGGGGTCGTGTTAAGCACCAGACAACGTTGTACGGCCTCCGACGGCCCACCAAGTCGGTGATCAAGTTGGTGTCAGAGATGGTTGCCCCGCTGAACACTAAACTGGCGAACGTGGAACTAAGCCATCCGAAAGCTGACGTCAAAGCATCAGGGGCATGAAATCAAAGGACTGGGACACTATTTCCGTTGTGCGTGAAATTCAGTCCTATCATTTGTGGATGTGTGTGTGGTCCAGACTTGGGAAGTAATGTGTTCCAAGTAACGGACTACTTGTAATCCGTTACTTTTTAAAGTAATTTTGTAATTGCCACGTTACTTTTTCCGGAAGTATTTTGTAATGTAATTTCGTTACAAAATATTGAAAACCAATTACTTCAATTAGTCGTCACTTTTTAAAAAAATATGAGCATTATACAGTAACTTGAGCAATACGAGCAAAACATTCAGCATCATAAAGAGAGCAAGTTCGACAAAATAGAAAACATCAGGAAGATGAGAATAGCCGAAAAGAAAACGCGATTTCTTTTATGACCGTTCGCTAGAACCACTAGAAAAACGGGAAGGCCATGTACAAATATACGAAAGACAAAGATTAAGTAAGACAACGCCAAGTATGCTCTCCGTCGCCTTCCATCCACTTTTTCTTATCCTAGGCAGGAGAAAGGTCTGCGTGTTTATTTGTCTTTGTCTTTTACACCCTTTCACCCTTTCCGACTTCTTCGACGTCTTCCGCCACCTGAACAGACATCAAACGCGGGTCCGTACCCCCTCGATTCGCGGGTTCAAAACATGCGTAACAGACGATGTAGCCTCGCGCCAGTGGGTCGAATTCTCTTTGTCTTTGATGTGCGCTACTTCATTCTAGCGCAATCTTGCGGCACGGCTGAAAAGCGCCCTGCGCGAGGCTAAGAGTATCGTCTTCGAAGGTACGACGATACTTATTTTGGTTTACTTTTGTGAGCATGTTGGTCGAGTCCACTCCTCACTTTACAGTCACTTACAGCTACTCGTCTGAGCATGGGGTTTAGGCCATCTAGGGAGTGATGACGGAGAGAGAGAGAAAGAACGCGTAAAGGCGGTTTGATCCTATATTGTTTTGTGAGGCCGATGGCCACCGCCTCTTTCGCTCTCCATGCCCTCCCTCCCATGGCCTCCACGAATGTTGGTATGAAAGTGAGAACCGATGAAAGATCGATAACCTGTAACCACCAATTTTTCTTCTGGTCGAGTTTTTGGTCATGGAGTGTCGGTCGTTTCCATAGGCATCTCTTAATGAGATGTTCTAAATTCAGAGCATTAAAAGAACGGAAACCTAGAGTTTCAGGGCATACTCTGCTTGTCAAAAAACAGACATTATCATCAGCAAGAACTAAGAACTCTAATCTACGGAAACACATCAAGGTAAGCTGGGACACCTGCGTTCTGTATTGGCTATAAATTGTAAAGTTAGAACCAAGTTTTTCTTATATTGTGAATAACAGACGAAACACCCCAGTCAAAAGGGAGCTTACGTAGAACACTTCTTTAACTCCAAATCTCGTAGCGGATGTAGACGCTTTTACAGACCATGCGCACCGCTAGCTTTGTCTTCACAATTGCAGGGATCATTTCCGAAGGCCGTAAGCTAGCGGGATGGCGGGTGTGGTTCAAGCTTTCGGTGCCTTGTCAGCTTACATGTGAGAGGAGTGCACTTACACTCTTTATCTTAAATACAATATTTTATTCTTACAAGGACTACTATAATAGGGCGCATATGATAAATGAAAAGTAGTATGTATTACAGAACATTTTTGAGAAATATAAAAATCTTTTCTATTGTTCTTCTGGACAACTGTACGGAAAAATTAACGTGAAAGTAATTTGTAACGTAACGAGTAAAGTGATCCGTTACTTTTCAGCGAAAGTAATTTGTAACGGTAATCTATTGCATTTGAGGCTCGGTAATTTGTAATTGTAACTCATTACATTTTTCAAGTAACGAGTAAAAATCTGACGGGGTCCGACACTTCGCAACCACAGCTGTTTTAGCCAGAACAGTAGCCGCTAAGAAGATATATCTTTAAAAGTAATGTCTGCTATGGCTGCGAAAAGCAGATCGAGGTCGCGAGCTTGCGGTGCCACTGAGAAGGAACGAACAGTGATCGCTATACAGGCAAAACGGGGAACATGTTCATGTTCCCCCTGGGAGTGCCAGGAGAGCGCCGTGACCGACTCAGATCACCGTCCGGCAGAAAGAATTCACACGACAAGCTCCGAATGTGCGCACAAAATCTTGATTAATTAAACTAGTTTCAATTGTACCACTTTAAACATGTGTTCTTTCTTACCAATATTTAAACCTGACCGTGAGCAGCCCAGCCTTCCCGCGAGGTGTAAGCTCCAATATTCACTGATCCGAGAAATCTGTATTTAAGTTGTTGACCTGTGCTTCAAACTCACCTGTAATCGTTTGTATGAATTCTTATTTTTCACGAACTTCTGTCACAGTGCTCTCTCTTCACAGACTTCCCATTCTTTTCGACCCCTTGCGTGCCCTTGTTTGAAATCAGCAACGTCTTATCCATCTCTCCTCCCGTTACGGCAGTTTTGTATATCCAAAACCCTGTAAAATAAACAAATAAAAAAATATATTCCAAAGCATTTTTGAAGGGCCTGATAAGACAGCTTATGAGCCTTAGTCTGTGAAAAGTAGAAGAAAATTACGATGGCCTTCATTTTAAACTGATTTTCCAATTATTGCAAAATCGGTAACCTGTCCACATTTCAGTGTATCTTTTTTTTTAGAAACGTTATTCTTTTCAGTTTTAATGACAATTTATGCAAATATATGAAACATACGCGTCCAAGTCATGTCAAAAATTTTCAATTTCCAGTCTTTTAAGGTCCGGATCCATAAACCTCTGAATTTCTTCGTAATCGATAATGCATATTTACCTCATTTTATTTTTGTGTATATAGTATTCGCACAACAAAAATAATAAACCTAAGACAACAGTTTTTGTTTAATGAATATTCAAAAGGACGGTTTCACGCAAGTCGAGAAAACGTGCACGTATCCCGACAGCGACTTTGTGATTTTGTTTTCCTCAAGAGAAATTTTATTTTCCGCAAAAAAAGATTGAATATCTTTTTTCGCTTGCACAACAAGTAAAAAATATATATTTTGGTAAAAATAAACAATGTCGACCGGTCATGGTCGTTCGATCCTATGTGACAACGCCCAATACAAACGTTATCAGGCAATCAGAATTTTTTTTTATGTATCTTTTATTTTCTACGCCTTCTGCGGCCTTCCACGGCGGCAGATCTATTGGCGCTCGCAGACTGTGCAGGTTTAGGTTCATCGGCGCCCTCCTTCCTATATCATGCTACCGCCAAGGTTGTAGGTTGATCTGTTTGTAAAGTCGCTCCGGTTGCTTCCTTTACGTCGCGGAGACGGAGACGCTATACGCCGGCTTTTGAAACAGAAACCTCAACGCAGATAACAGACTGGCGTACCTTGGCCTATGGGCAGTTTTGGGCCGGTTTTAAGAAAATGAATTAGGAATTTTTCCTTCAAAACTACCATTCACCTCTGTGCTGTCAATTTCTCTTTTCCGGACCACGCCATTGCATTTTTACGTTTTTTTATTAATAATGAAATTGTGAAGAACCGGTATGTGCACGCCCCATTTATGGCAACCGCGTTAGCGTCAATTTGGCCAGGTTTCTCGCTCGATAACTTAAAAGCCACACAAATATATCATTATGTTTTTGTAGACTCTGCTCGTACATATTATAAACGTTAATCTCAGAGAGTTTGAAGAATATCAAAGTTGGCCTTTCTCTAACTATTTTCAAAATAATGCATTTTTAGTTAAATGCTTTTGTGTGAGCAATTCTTGTAAATATCTCCCGCTAACCAGGACAACAATATTTTACACAAAGATTAAATATATACAGGGCAACAGATTGGCAAAGTTTGAACACTTTAGCTCTTATAGATACGGAGAAAAATATTCTTTAACCCAGTGGGTTATTGCGCAACGTGCCGTGTTTGCGATTTCTTCTTAAAATAACTACCCTAATTCTCGGTGATTAATACTTTTTGTTAATATTTCCTATGCATGATTTGTCAGTGAATATTTCTAGACCCGTAGCCAAAACAGTTTTTTGTGGGAAGCCGCCCGAAATATAAACATCGCGCGATACGCAAAACGCGCACCTGACTGAGAGCTTGCTTGAAAATGTTTTTTGCCAAAAAAAAAAATGATTTTACGGAAACGAGGATTCGTTTTATTCTGCTGGACATAAGACCAGCAAGATATATTTTTTCGTCGAAATTAAAAGTGGTCACCGGACGTGGTTGTTTGATCTTACCTGAAAACACCTTACTATGGTAATAATAGAGGCGTCAGCGTCACCCTCAATAATTTTCTGAATACTAAAAATCTGTGGAATTTCGGCCTCCCACCAGGTGGTACAACAAAGCCGCCAAACAGTTTTCTTTTGTCTTAATTACCTCTATTTAAAAAAAGAAACTGGGTTGCAAATAAGGAGGAGATATAATGTTGAGCAATATGTCAAGTTAAGACAACCCGCTTCTTTGGATGTCATAATTTTCTATGACCATAAATCAGATGCGTCAAAGAGTGATGTTTGATAGGCTACTGCAGCACTAATTTTTCAAAGTTTAACAAAACCTCCAGTCCACTTTTTCGCATATCTCAAAAGTTTGACGCTCTCTCCGACTTACTACTGTAGTTCAATTAAGTTTGTAATAATTATTTCACTAAATACTTTAGACATGCGTTTGGCGCATTTTATAAATATAACTAATGCCAGGAATAAAGTCTGTTGCTGATTTGAATGTTCTAATTTATTCAATCAAAAAGATAGCCGTGCTAACATTTTGCGATTTTACGGCAATATTTGGAGAGCTGTACAAAACATAATAATTAAAAACTAAATCAAAACCTCGTCCACGTTTGCTTCAGTATGTTCTTGACAAAAAATAAGTATCAAAATGATGTTATGGTTAATGGTACTTTCACAAAGCGATAACTAGTGGAGAAAAGAACGAGTTCGCGCGTTCCTATAAGCTACACTATAAATTATTAAATGTGCGCTAACATAAAATATAATATGAGCTATGCAATGGGAAATAGTATTATACTTGCCTTTCAAATAAAAGTAATAATTAAATAAGGTATTCACTATGATACGAGTAACGATCGGTCAAACAGCACCTATATTGACAAAATAATGGGACTGTGACCCAGAAGTGCGGTTTCCCAATTTTGTTTATATTGATCAACGTGTTTAGTGTAATATGATTGTATATTTCAAGTTGTTTCCGGTAAGTCTCTCAGATATTATGGTCGATACCTTCTTGAGTCAAATCAAATATGTACTTTAAATGCCATGCAACCTCACACCGATCTCGAACGCGATTCTTATTTATTAAAGAGAGCAAGTGTACAGCGGGAGTCAATGATAAAGACTACACTTGGTACCATTGATAGAGACATGAGGTCGAAGGTAAGAAAGTTTTACATTTCTGTACTTAGAATTGAATGGCAATTGCACGAACGCTAGGAACACCAGTTAGTTTGTTGAAATTTTCCTCTTCATCTGCAAACTCAGATATAAATTTAATTGAGCTTTACGAAAAGTAGTTAATTATGGCAATGCCACATATTATGATTAAAATTCTCATGTTCACCACTTTATTCATTTGTGCGATACATATGAAGATTTTTTTGTTTTTCATTTGGTTGTAAAAGCGTGAGAGAAACTTTGCAAAGGTTAAACTTCAAGGTGATTATACTGAAAAGCCTAAAGACGCATCATCAGTGCAAGTGTCCTAACAATACAAACTTGAAATGAGATATTTAAGGAAAAACATTGTTTTACTGTTGGTATGGGGACGACGCAACAAGTCCACTTCGTGAAAAGGCAGTATGCAGAAAGCACTTTCGATTTCCCCACTGCGGAAATTTACTGTACCGAGGGCAAGTAAGTGCACATAAAAAATATAAATATCGTAATATCTCATTACTATGTCCAGCACACTTAATAGCGTTTACAAAATTGTATTTTTTTATAAAAATGCTCGCAGTAATGTAACTGTAGAGCGAATTTTGTTTTATAACAGCAAGACGGAAGTAGAACGTAGACGTACCAAAACACTCCGAAACTTCTAAGGATACAGGATAATAAAAAAAATCATATGTCGCGTTTTGTATCGAAACCACGAAAAACACAAACACAGTAGTATTTCAGTCATATAAAAAACTTTTTCCTTGAAGAATCTATCAATTTCTGTGTTTGTTTGGGAGCTATGAATGATATCAAATCATAGTAATAATTACAATAATAGTAAATTAAGCAAGTGAGGCTAGGAAGACTCGAGTTAGTATGAAAGTATAAACCCTGATGATGTCGACGCAATTCGGGCATAAATATGACGTGCTTCCTCATTTACTTTCTGAGCTCTTTTGTTATTTCCATGGTTTACTTGAGAAACTGCTTAAAAAAGTAATTCGTGTGTTTTTCTGTCTGAATTTCTACATATTTAAATCACCACTTTTAACAACTATACATGGTTTCCAAGGGTTTCCATGGAACGCGAAAAAACATTTAAATTGTTTTAGTCGTTTTTCAATCGTCCAGTCAACGGGTTTCTTACTCTTTTGCTAAATAGTATTTTTTATGAACTTAGATATATGCGCATAATTAATGTTACTTGTCCGTTCGCTTCCATTGCAGATGATAAACTACAAAGAGTTGATTAAAAAGGTATATTCTACACTGAAGAAAAAAGTTCCATTAACGGATTCACAAGTAATTATTGTAGCGAGCCCTGCCTACTACGCCAAGGTCGAAAGCGCTCTTACTGACATCCAGCAGTAAGCAACTGATAATATATATTTTCTCTAGCTTTGCGCCAAAGCTTGAAAAATAACTCCCCTCAAGTTTTACGGTATTAATGCAGTTCTTCGGAAATGATCATGTTATGATAACACAAATTCATAATTTAGAATTGACAAAAAATGAATGTTTGACAGGCCACCATGAAATATAAAGTTGATATTTTGCATATTTCAAGTATATACAGGGTGTTTGATATTTACTCCGAAGATATTTGTGTTTTAGAAATCCCTGAAAGGTACACTAATGTTGTTTGTCCAGTTGAGTTATACGACCTGAGGGACATGATATATGGGCTAATCAGCATAGGTCGGTGAATTATTTCAAGTTTAATAAAGATGTTTTAAATTAGTAAAAATAAGCATATACTTCGGATTAGAAACTTGCTGAACGTCATCGAAAACCACTAAATCAGTCAATATTAGAAAACTTCGAGCACTTGGAAAGCACTGTAGAGCGCTAAGGTTATCACTCGTGCGGCAGGCGCAAAGTTACCGGTGCCAAAACGCGTCCGCGTGGTTTTTCCGTCTCTTATGATAGCCCCAGACATGCGCCTGTTGCAACTTGCACGAGTGGTAACTTGAGCGCACGGATGCGCTTCGCACGCGCTCAGTCTTTCTACAGGGTGAAACAAGGAGACGCCAGGCTCCTTAAATCGACCGGAAAATTCGGTTTCTTTACCTATCGCGCTACGACTTTGTGCAGCGTTGACCACAGATGGTGCTTTTTTTTTTGTGAAATTTGCGAAGAGCGAATTTACCTGAGGAAAAAGTAAAGAAAGAAAAAGGCTTAGCTCCTATGGAAAGGCAGCGACGCCACCGGTCTGCAAACAACACGGCGCCGTTTCGCACGGGAGACCAGAGATGGCGCAAGCGGTCGCGACGCCAACTGCCGCCAACGAACGAGCAGACGACGCCGAGAGCCGGCCCTTTTGCAGACAAGGAACTGCAGTTCCTTGCTGTTACCGCGCCTGTCTTTTTTGTTCCTGCGACTGTCGCCGCCTGCGGAACTCCCGCCGCTTTTAAGTCGAAAAGATCGTCTGCTAAAAAGGCCTGCTCTCGGCGCCGTATGCTCGTTCGTTGGCGGCGTTTGTTGCGCCATCTCTTGTCTCTCGTGCGAAACGGCGCCGTGTTGTTTGTAGACCGGTGGCGTCGCTGCCTTTCCATAGGAGCTAAGCCTTTTTTTTTCTTTACTTTTTCCTCGGGAAAGTTCACTCTTCGCAAATTTTACAAAAAAAAAAAAAGCACCACCTGTGGGCAACGCAGCACAAAGTCGTAGCGCGATAGATTACGAAACCGAATTTTCCAGTCGATTTAAAGAGCCTGGCGTCTCCTTGTTTCACCCTGTAGAAGGGACTAGTTTAGTGGTTTTCGAGGATGCTTAGAAAGTTCTAATTCGGACAGTATGTTTATTTTCACTAATTCAAAATAAGATAAAAAATGAATGACGCTTACAAATCTCTGTAATGCGAAACTAGAGTGCAGCTCTTCAGGAGGAGGAGGGGAGAGCACGGAGGGGAGAGAATGTCCCTCCTCCACCTCCGTACCCTTCTATTTTCCTCCCCTCCTTTTCTTCTAATCCTCCTCCTCTCCTTTTCCTCCCCTCCTCCTCTGCTCTCCTCATCCTTCCTTCATCCTCCCCATCGCTCCTCCTCTCTTCATCCCGTTAAATTTCCCCTTTAAATTTAGCGAAAATTTCCCCGCTAAGCGGGTTAACTTCCCCGCTAAATTTAGCGGGAAAATTGATGTCACGTGACCTCAATACCAATTCAGTTTCGCCGCTGAATTTAGCGGGGGAAATGACGTCACGTGACTTTGTGTCACGTGATCTATGAACAAATTCAGTTTTTCCGCTTGATATAGCGGGAAATGGACGTCACGTGACCTCAACACCAATTAAATTTCCCCCTAAATTTAGCGGGGCGCCTACGCCAACGGCGACGCCGACGGCGACGGCGACGGCGACGGCGACGGTGACGGCGACGGTGACGGCGACGGTGACGGCGACGCCGCTCAACGCAGAAACGGACGCCTAAGAGCTGCGCTTTAAAAATGTATGGCAAATTGTTAGTGAATTAAGTGGGATACGTGCGATGTTCTAGCATGAGAAGCGTTTAGCGATAGCTGCACCTCGTGGCTGCACCGATATGCAATTGGTGTCACGTAAGGTCTATTTCTCGCTACATTTGGAATGGAAGTTGAATTGGTGTATAGGTCACGTGACATCAAGTCAAGCGACGTCATTTTTCTCGCTAAACATAGTCGGGAAACTGCATTGGTGTTGAGGTCACCTGACGTTAATTTTCCCACTAAGTCTAGCGGAGAAACTTAAACCGGCTTCACGTAATCCGGCTTCACAAAATCCGGAGCAACTAGCCGTGTGACATGAAGTCATGTGACATCATTTTCCTTATTAAATTTAGTGGGGAAATAAAATTGGCGCTAAGGTCCCGTGGAGTACATTTCCCGCTAAATCTAGCAGGCAAACTGATTTTGTGTAGAAGTCACGTGACGTCAATTTACCCGCTAAGTTTAGCGGGGATCTGATTTTCTGCAGAAGTCACGTGACGTCAATTTACCCACTAAATTTAGCGGGCAAATTAAATTTGTGTAGGTCACCTGACGTAAATTTTAACGCTAAATCTGGCGGGAAACTGATTTCGTGCAAAGTTATGTGACGTCAATTTACCCGCTACATTTAGCGGGCAAACTGATTTTGTGCAGAAGTCACGTGACGTCAATTTACACGCTAAATTTAGCGGGAAAACTGAATTTGTGTAGGTCACCTGACGTCAATCTTCCCGCTAAATCTAGCGGGGAACGAGAATTAACTGTAGGTCACGTGACGTCCATCTTTCCGCTAAATTTAGTGAGAAAACTGAGTTTTCCGTATAGATCACGTGAGAGGAGGTCATGTGACATCATTCTGCAACACTGCGTGTGTTGCATTATGGGACATCACAGACGTACACACTAATTCAATTTCCCCGCTAAATATAGCGGAAAAACTAAATTGATGTGTATGTCTGTGACGTCCCCTAATGCCACTCTGCGCGGTTTGCATTACGGGACGTCGCAGACCTATGCACCAATTCAACTTGCCCGCTAAGTTTAGCGGAGATTCTGAATCGGTGTGTAGGTCTGTGACGTCCAATAATAGAATGCTGCGCGCGTTCCATTATGGGCGGCATTGATGTTGAGGTCACTAGACCTCAATTTTCCCGCTTAATCTAGAAGGGAAACTTAATCTGGCTTCACTTTATCGGGCTCCACATAATCAGTCTTCACGAAATCCAGAACTAGTCAAGGAACGTATCACGTCCAAAACTAGTACATTATCCGGCGTATCGCGCGAATTACCCTACTAAAAATCTGAAACGTATACGAACTTTCTTGGTCCAAAAAACGCATGTTATTAAATTAGATTCTATATGAACATACAGGAACGTTATAAGAACACATAAGAACAATGTAATACATATATAAGCACTTATAAGAAACTGATAAAGTTTTTTTATAACTCCTTATAAAGTCTTATATTGTTGTTATATGTTCTTATAAGGTTCTTAGATACTCGTATATGATCTTATTTCATCATATGTGTTTATTGGACCAAGAAATGTGTTATACATATCAGATTCTTTAGTACGGTAGCTCCCCGTGTTATGTCCCCCTGGTCGTTTAGCTCAATTGCACGAACCCCATTAGAGTGAGTACATTTCAAAAATGTTTAAAATTAAATCAGTTCAAATTAAAATCTAACACCCTGTATAATATTCACATAATAAAAATACCATTTTAATCGTACATGCTCAGTTTACAATAACGACTACTTGGGATGAGTCCCCGATGCCAATACCTTTGGTTAGTTGCTAACGCGTACGTACAATGGCTGCTCCAATATGTATGCAAAACATGTGCGAAAGCTAAATCATTTACTTGTAAACAATAATAAAGCAAATGAAAAATGGACAACTAAAAAACGATCAAATAAAGCGCTGACTTACAATCTAAAATTTAAAAAATTTAACAATCAATTTTTTCTTACAAGAAACACCAGACAATATGATCCACTGCCAAACATACATTTCAAAATGCAGCAAAATGCCAAATCAGTCTCACATAAAGGAATCGAGAAAGGGTTTCTTGTTATCTAAAACGCATCTAAATTATGTTATCATCTGATTCAGATGTCACGTCAAGCTTGTGTTTTTCTCGATCTTCAGCTCGCATTCTCAATTAAAACAACCATGCACCGCCGAATTCTTCGGAAGTAGGGTTTCCATTACTACCGGGAAAATATTTTATTTTAGTTATTTTTCTGCAACTCTGGTATCAGAGAACTAGACACAGTTTAGTAGGGATTCAAATATCAATTCCTAAAAAGTTTTGACTATACCAAGAGCTTGTAGAAAATATAACGTGCGCAAGTGCTCTTCAGACGTCACGCTACTTCTATGAATGTACCTGCTAAATTGCTATTTCTAGACGGGTTCATCTCATGCTCGGGGCTAGTACCACATAGACAACCCTACGCATTCCAGACACGGTGCATCAAAAAGGGTCAAAAGTCAGCCGAACCCGAATGACCTTCCCATAAAGTTGTCAAAACCCTACCCAACGTTTGGGTGAAGTTCGATATGTGGGGAATATCTGAGGCCGGGGAATATCTGGGGAATATCTGAGACGTTGTATATAAATAACCAGTAGAACAAGCGCCCCGTACTATTTATGAGAATTAGAAGTTTAAGACACCAGGGCCCGTTTGCTCGAAACGCTAACCGCGGCTAAAGTTAGCCGCAGTACCTAGGAGAGAGATTTTGAAATCGCACGACTGGGCTTGGTAGAGATGCGGGGAAACCTGGCGGTGCCCCGGTGAGTGAGCGCCGCTCGCTTTGGAATTGATATGTCGTTGTAGCTGCAATATCGGGCACGTTAGTCAGCAACGAATAGTGCAGGAGGCTTTCGCTTTACCTTAGCTCACTTATATCGCAAAGCATGAGCAAGGAGCTCGCCGCATTTTTTGGATAGTCTTTCGATTCTGGCCATTCCTAAGCCTAAATGAACGCGATAATTGTCGGCATGGCAACGTCTTTGGGAAGCGGATTGCCTTGACTCAACTGGCCGGGTATTGATGGCACACAAAAGCAGACAGCGTCCCAATATACCTTTTTCTAAATTACCCAAGCATCGAGGAGAACGCTGAAGGTGTAATTCTACAGACCGCGCGTGCTGGCCTTTCTCTTATAAAAGATTCGGAGTAAATAATCATAATAAGGCTTTGACGAACGCGCGTGCAAGGCAAAATTTGTTTCAGACTTTCTGTTTTAAAACATTTACTACTGCAGACGCCAGCACGTGCAGCGCGTGTAACTACACTCGTAGCATGTACCTCGGTGCTTGGGAAATTTAGAAAAAGGTCTATTGGGACGCTGTCTGCTCTTGCGTGCTATCAATACCCGGCCAGTTGAGTCAAGGCAATCCGCTTTCCAAAGACGTTGCCATGCCGACAATTATCGCGTTCATTTAGGCTTAGGAATGGCCAGAATCGAAAGACTATCTAAAAAATGCGGCGAGGTTATTGCTCAGGCTTTGCGATAATTTAAGTGAGGTAAGGCAAAGCGAAAGCCTCCTGCACCATTTGTTGCTGACTAACGCGCCCGGTATTGCAGATACGACGACATATTAGTTCCAAAGCCAGTGGCGCTCACTCTCCGGAGCACCGCCATGTTTTCCCGCATCCCTACCGAGGCCAGTCCCGTGATTTTAAAATCCCTCTCACAAGTACTGCGGCTAACTTTCGCCGCGGTTAGCGCTTCGAGCAGACGTGCCCAGACAGACCTAAGACCCTTATATAATGTTCGTGCATAAAGCTAAAGCGTCCGGTTTTTATCCTGGAGCAGCTCGGCGTATTTATTCATTTATTCTTGAATTAACGTAAAAGAAAACCTGAGGTTCATTAAGAATCCCTGCGTAGAAAGTTACATTAGTCCCAAAGGCTGACACACAAAAAAAGTATAATTAATGCCTATAAGTGCAATATTTTTGTTAGCTTTAAAATATTATCGTGCCTGACTCTTGTGCACACTTAAATATTTAATATGTCTTGCACAAGCTATTAATTGAGAAATTTTGTCGTTTTCAATCTTGATTGTTAGGAAATATTACTTGGGGTAAATATACAAGCTACAAAAACGATCCTTGGATCTAAAAGTAACATTGACAAAATATGATATCTAGATTTTACGAATATTAAACGTGCATTGTCTTTATATAAATGATACGGCAGGTTACTAAAAAATTTTTGACGTTTGTTAGCCATCTGTCCGAGCGCATAAAGTTTACAGACCAGCGCTACCCATGTCATAGCCGTTGGTGTGAACGTGCCTCCAGCACTGGGCATGACCAGTTACCTGACCTCACGCGAATGTAGCTTTGACGCACGCGCAGTGCAGACACCTTGGCACCTGGGGGGGGGGGGGGGGGGGGGGGGGGGGGGAATATACAAGTGCGGGTTGGTTTGTAAACAGCGCTTGGCGCTGTTTAAAAATCAACCCGCATTTGCGCCAAGCGCTGTTTGTAAAAAGCGCTTGGCACATGTACATCTAATATAGTACTTCCGCCTTAAAAGCATGACGCAGTGCCTGTACACTTAAAAATCACCTTACTAAGTTCCACGTCCCACTCATGATGTTTTCTGCTCTTGTTTCTTTTTGCATTATCAGGGATGAGCTCTATAACTTTCTTGGGTATAAATACCTATCTCAGCTCATTAAGTACTCAAAATCAGATTTGTTTTTCCTATACACACATTTCTTGAAAACCGTCAATCCTACTTTCAATGAACCACAAGAGCCGGATTTTACGAGCATCTGCATAAGCGACCTCATGGTTACTATGAAGCACGCTTTCGGTCACCTGTATGTTAAGACATATTTTAGCGACCAACGTATTCGGAACGAGGTGAGCATGCATACTATTTTGCTAATCTTACCATTTTAAAATATTTTGAAATGTACAAAAGAAATTTGTTTGTGTTAGTGTATATTCGTCAGTGACGTGCTTTTAGAAATTGAGCCTCTTTTTGTTTTTGTAAGTCTACACCAATGTAAGTCAGAAAAAACACAGTCCTCCCACTGGTAAGTTCTAAGACAAGTTATAAGGTCCTTATGTTGTTACCTGTTCTTCTAAAAAAAATGTGCATTAGATAAGTAAATGATGCTCATTCAGCTCGCCATATTAAATGGTAATTTAGTGCGGGTGAAACTCTAAATTAAATACAGAATGTTATGTCAAAGTAATTAGGACAGTTGAAAAAAATTACTCTTGGGAGTTCAAGTTACGCTAATAATAAGTTGACTCGTTAAAAAGAGAATCTGATTAGTTCTTTGCAATATTTAGTGTGACTATAACTGACAGTGCTTCTCACGAAATGTTGAAGTTTGTTTTATGCCATTTGTTTCTTACTCCACGTTTGGGGGAAGAGATTTTCTTTCAGATATGTCGTACCTCACTATGACTCCATCAATGATACGCCTACAAATCTGACTCTTAAAGCACACATGCGAAGGACATAAACAAATTTTTTTAAACAGCCTGGTTTGAAAAAGGAAGTCTTTAAACGAATTTACAACAAAAAAGAACCTTTTTATAGCTATATTTACGGCGCGATACAAATTTGTAGTTGGCGCCCGCGGGCGCCGCGCAAAAGTGACCGCTATTTGTCACGTGGTGCTTCCGTTCTTTCGGAAGCTTCCTTTGGTCTCTAAAAGTTCCTTAATCGTTTTCGTTTTGAAGTGCATCAAAAAACGAAGCTTAATAAGTAACTCTTAAGGGGTATTCACACGAGGGAGAAATTCCGGAGATTCCTCCACGGCACGAGCAACCCGCGACGAAGACGTGAGGCTTTGCGATGTGGAAAAGCCTCGCGTGTTCGTCTCGTGATGCGCGCGCGCCGGGAAGAAATCCCCGGGATTTCTCCCTCGTCTGAACACCTTTTTAGGGCCCAAAGGAAGCTTCTAAAAAACCGCAAGAAGACGTGATAGACCCGTGCGCCTGTCAGATGATGGCATCGGCGCCCTGGAGCAGATGAACTTGCGCGCCGGCGGCGGCGAGGAGAAGCGCGTGAACCGGCGGCGCAGAACGCTCAGCGTGCGGCCGCCGGTTCACGCGTGGCGTCGGCGCACAGGTCTACCACGCGACCAGCGGCAGCTCTCGCGGCTGGCACTACAAATTCGTTTCGTGCCGTAAATAGAGCTCCAAAATGTTTTTTCTTGATTGCAAATTTGTTTTAAAACATTCTTTTTCCATCTAGGCTGTTCAATGTTTTTTTTTTCCTTTGCATTTGTTATTTAAAGGCTAACATGGAAAGAGTGAACAACTGTGTAGATATACAGGGTGTTTTATGTAAGCGACAAAAATTCCTACAATTAGTGTATTGCAGGTAAAAATATATTTTTCTCGGGGCCGTATTACTCGTGGAGGCGGCCGTCAGAAAATGCGCAATACTTACTAATTAGTTCAATACTAAATTAAACATTACTAATAACCTTTTTAATTAGTGAAAATAGACATATAATTGCAATTATGAACTTGCTGAGCGTCAACGCAAGCCTATAAGTCGGTAATTTTCAGAAAGACTTTGAGCGCGTGAGAAGCGTAGTAGTACACTAAAGTTGAAAACTTCTTTAAACAAATATGTTAAGATTAAAAACAAACCGCCCCTGTATATGCGTCGCTGCAAAACAAATCTAAATTTATTTGTAATGTTTATATAGTACCTAGAGTAAGATAATGCCTACAGCAGACAGGAACGCCCAATATGTGCTTCAGAACCACATAACAGTACTGCAATCAAAGACTTCAAATTGGAGGCTCCGTGAAATCAAAAGGGAATTATGCGCTCTGCTTCTTAAGTCATCGGTGGCTCGCCAGCTGCCTGGAATACTGCTTCTTGAGGCATCGGATGCTTGCGCAATAACCCTTACACCTGTCAACGGATGACCAGTGGTGTCATACTACCTGCAACAAACAGCTGCGTAAACAATTTACGTGTGTTTTTTTTTAATTAACCACGTCAGACATCAGCGACGCAAGCAACTAAAACAACATTCAATTGTGCCATTTTGTCGGTCGGTAAAAATAAAATGCGATATGAAACGCTGAAAAAAATATTCATCACTCCAGTTAGACATAACGACAAGTCTGGTATTATACAGCGAGGTATTCATGTAGGTATGGGGTTTTACAGCGTTTTTCATTCACCGAAGTTAACAGCTTCCTTAATAATCTGTGCTGCATGATATTAAGTAGGACTACTTCGGCTGTAAGATTGACATAAACCTTACGGCCAGCTTATTTACGTGTATTGTTAGGATCACAAATTAAAGTTCAGAGCTGCTGAGCAGCAAGCTCACAATATGAAGCAATAAAGGAACACGACCGCTGCTTTTTGTGCTACTTACGACAGCTTGGACCTTTCCTGAGCGGAAAACTGTAGATGTCTAAGTTTTTTGTTTTTGTTTTTTACGTGTTACTTAACAGGTAAGGGAAATTACCAACAAAGTGAAAGAAGCCTTGAAGACATTGGTTGACAAGACTTGGCTACAGGCTTCGACTAGAAAAGCTGCACAGGATAAGGTATGCGCTATTAGCTTATGCTAGCCATGGTGGCTGCGGGGTAAATATAGTTCTCACCTCTCGGTTTATTTGCAGGTTGACCAAATGGGAATTTCCGTAGGATATTCCGACTGGGTTTTGCAGACTTCTCAAATTCATGAATTGTTTAAATATGTGAGTTATTTTGAATCTATTTCTTCATCGTGAATAGGTTTGCCTTGTGGGTGGAACGCCTTTCTACGTACACTGCGCGACTCTATTAAAGTGAACAAATATTCTTTTTTTATCGAAATGCTTTCATCAAAACTTTGGGAAGTGCTAATTTGGAGCAATAACCTAAGCGGTAAGATATGAATCTTAATATAATAAGCCCTTTCCAAAATCAGTCTCGCAACGTTGATCATAATCATCATCTCAGTGGATGGCATCTCTGCCAAGCTTATGGTTGCCTTTTTGAGGCTGTTGAAGGAAGAAGTTGAAGAAACTTCCAATTTGATAATCTATGTTGCCTGAACGCTAGAGACGTCAGTCGAGCACGACGCACAACTGTGTAGGTAGAACGGCTGTGTAAGCGTTTACATTGGAGTGTGCTCCAAGCGATTTCTTAGCACAAGTTTAGCTCCAAAGCCTTTTGAAGGCTGGAATTTAACCAGGGGGCTTATGGGTCGCTCCTTTGTACTAATCACTTATTAACTTCATACCATCGAAAATGACATGTATCAAACAGGAATTATAACGTGACTAAAGAACCGATTCTCATCTGCCATGGCATAAGCAAGTGACGATACCCGATAAAATAAAAAAAAAAAAACTTTATGACGCCCATTAGTTTGGCGAAGGTGAAATTCCTTTTTGAGTCATCAGATGGCGCAGAATTTTGAAATGGGTTTGTTTCAAGGTGAAAAAGCGCCGATGTCGTGCTCGGGCCAACAGTGTCGCGCAGTGTACGAGTGTAAGTAAATACATATGTTAAAAATCCGCACCAACTAAAAACAACCTGAACTTCTGTGCCCAATTTGTCATGGGTGAATAGCAGAATCAGTGCATAAGGAATAATAACAGACGCTATATTCAAGTCAGTGATGACTTGAGGAACGCACAGCATAGCAAATCTGAGTTTTTATCGTTTTGCATCAAGTGAGATTGTGCCATCACCCTAGATGAACATCAAAGAAGGAATCTGTCATTATGTATTTAGTTCTTCTGTTTCAAATTCATGAGAACGGGACGGTTTGATTAGATAAATATTTAAGCAACGAAGCAAGTAAGACACAGTTACAAAGACGGTATCAATAAGGAAAGCTTATGTGGGTGATATATCGGGAAATGATGTGCGCTAAATGTTCAGTCTGTGTGCAAAAGTTCATGCCCTAAGATATTGTTTTTCTACAAGCATGTACGCAGCCGGTAGATCCATTGCAGCACTTGACGTTGCTTTGGAATATGTCATCGGGTTGGATCGGTGGCTTGAGGTTCTTGATCCCCGCGAAGGTGGAGCGGCTGAGCAGGTGGACCTTTGGCTTCCCAGACGTGGCGAGCCAGGATAAACCCAAATGGAGGTAGACGAACGGGAAGACCTCTGAGCTCCCGGTTTTGAAAAGCCGGAATGAGCCCGAATAGAATTAAATGAGCACGCGGACCTTCGAGTCCCCGGTCTTCAAGAGCCGAAACGAACCCAGGGGGTGGTAGGCGGACACTTTTATTCCAGGTCTTGAAAAGCTGGGACGCACCCAGATGGACGTAGACCAGTGGACGGACCCTGGCGTTCCGTCTCTTGTTGCCTTTCTTCATTGTGTCTCGGCTTTCTGTTCTTCTTCTTGTACTTTTATTCTTCTTTATTACGTGTTCTAGCCTCGGTCGTCGACGACTCATCTCGCGACACGCGGGCCCGTACCATGGTGTAAATATTGAAAGACCGGTCATGCTTTTTGGTCTCGCATTTCACAAGAATGCCGCTTTTCGATTTGTTTTACGTTAAAAAACTAGGCAAAATACGCTAACTTCCTGCGTAAAAAAGTATTCACAATGCGATTGAAAAAAAAGAACTTGCCTATCGAAAGTTCAAGCAAAACTAGACAGGCTACACGAACTTCCCCCGTATAGAAATACAAGCACTACAATCAAAAAATGAAAGCATATTTAAAGTTCAAGTGAAGGAAGACAACGGTCACGCGCCATATTAGAGTAAACGGCTCATAGAGCCTGCCTCAGATTTCTTGATCTCATGATGTGCTCAACGCGAAAAAATATTCCCGCAGGGCGAGGCTCCAACGTGACTCTTTACCGTTCAGATACCTGGCTTGGGTAAAGTAATGCAGCGGTTGATGGTCAGTTTGAACCGAAAACGCAATACCATAGAGGTAGATATGAAACTTTTTGAGGCCCCGCACAAGCGCCAAACACTCGCGTTCAATACCCCAACATCGCGCCTCGCGCGGTAGCGTTGTCGGCTTCCGTAACAGACGGAGTGGAGAAGTGCGTCGCGCTTTTGTTGAGGAACCGTGTCCACACATGTCGTGAAGCTGTCTGTACGGAGCGCGAACTCCCTCTTGATGATCGGTTCCCTCAACATAGGAGCAGAGCACAGTGCTAGCTTAATTTACATTCTGAGCTTTTATTTGGCAATATTCTCTTTCACTGTTTGGTGGAAGCTTGTTCTATCGCGAACTTCCCTCAAAGCAATTAACTGGAGGCATGTCGGGCAGCTGTTCCATTCATACAACGGCGAAAGTAAAAAAAAATAGATTAAAGTTACAAGTGCTTTTAACGGAATCCCCAATCCAAACATTTATCCGTTCGTACATTCGTCTGTGCATTTCCCGCTACATTTAGTGGAACAATTGACGTAACGCGACCTGACGTCACGTGATATAAACGCCAGCTCAGTCTCCATGTCGTTGAAATTGATGTCTGACCTATTCTCGGTCAATTGTTCCTCTAAATTTAGTGCAGGAATCCCCATGACGTGCCAAAAATGCCTTGAAGTTTCCCGATAAATTTAGCAGAAAAATTCTAATCAAGCAACCTGATGTCACGTGACTTATACAAAAATTAAACTTTCCCGTTAACTTTATTGTAAAAATTGACGTCACGCGGCCTAAGCACCAATTCAGCTTTACCGCTAAATTTAGGAGGAATATTGACGCCGCGTGACTTCACACCTAGGAAAGACTGTTTGACATATTCTAAACAAATCAAAACCAACGCTCCCTAAATAAGGCATTCGACGCCTTTAGAATGTCGAGATAAAGGTCGCTTCCAATTTTTGTCACAGATTGTTTTTACGAAAAGAAAATATGTTGCGTATTGAGATAGTAAACAAACAAAAACTTCAAAAGTAGCAACACTAAGGGACTATACATAGAACATTTCTCGATATTTATTACATTCAAACTAAAAAATGGCGAGACAAAAAAAGACAAGTTTTTTAGAGCTGTTACGTTCCCACGTTTGGTTTTGAAACATGGTAGGGGTCTAGAGGCCCAATAGCCTGATTCAATATTATCCTGTTGGTGCTTCACTAAACTACTTGGACTGATTGGTTCATAAATAACAGGGATTCGTTTCTTCAATTGACATAATAGGTTCCTAAGTTGGATGAGAAGAAGTCGCTTTATGTTACAATGGTGAAGTCTGTACTAGAGAATAATTTGCACGTTAATCTGGAAAAACTACATACACCAGTAGACAAGACTAAAGAGTAAGTATTTATTTTTTATTCATGAATATTTGTTCGTTCATATATTGTTGTTTCGAAAACAGAGGTTTACGCTATATATGTTGCCGATTGTAACAATATAGAATGAGAGGCAAATGAAATGCTTAGAAAAAAAAGCAAGGAATTGTACTACTTTGTGCCTAAAAATACAGCGCAAAACAACAAAGGACTAGAGGACAAGGAACAAAAACTGTTTCTTTGGGTCTGTGTTGTGTTTGTCCACTCTTTCGTGTTCTTTCGTCTTTTTATTTTTTTTTTTTTTTAGAGAATTGCTTATCAGCTCGTTTGTACAATCACGCTTATTCCAGCACAAAGCGCGCTTTTTTATTTGGAGATATTTTTGTACGTAAGGCAATAAGAAAATAAGACGGGAAAGACTACAAAAAAATTAATAATTACTAAGATCTCCCCACAATGCTTAGTTATATTTCGCATAAAAGAAGCATTGTATTTTTGTTTTGTTTCTCTAAAAAGATTGCCAGGCCCGTACAATGTAATGTTAACAATATCAGTGTTTGCAAGTTACCACACTACAAGAACAATAAGCAATAAGCACTGTATTCATTGAGCTTCATTGGGCGCTAATATTACATTCAGCTTCGTAATGAAAACTTCTCTGTGAAACACAAGGATGCACACTCAATGGCATCGAGTTTATATTTGAACCAAGAAGTACTTTTTTTAGCGCCAGCAGCCATTCATACAGGGTGTTTCAGCTAACATCTGCCAAGACTCAAAAAAGCTGGTACATGCTACACATGTCAAACAAAGCAGTATTGTTCTCAATTCTATTGAGCAAGTAATTTTTGCGATGTGCAAAACTGTCTAATCGACACAGATTAATTGGCCAACATTTATTATTGTTTTGAGTGAGCAAACCGTCCAATACAGTACTCGCAGAACGCATTCATAATGTTGTTCTCAACAGAGTGGCTGTTTTTGTTTGAATTGTCTTGGTGTTTAAAGAAAGCCCACGAGAATATACAAAACTTCCATATGTCTACCCGCTAGCTAACTGTGATGCCTTTCACATAGGATTGTTTTTTATAAAAATAGTGTCCAACACATTTACGGTATCAAACAAATTTGTCAATATGTGCTTTTAAGATGAGACTTGCTGCTTTACGTCGAGTTGCATTTAAATTAAACAAAATGATCGAGAATCTTGTTGAATTTCACAAAAAATATAAACGGAGTGCAATATTTTATGGTTTAATTTTAGGGAAAGACATCTTACTTTTCTTGAATTACTGACTTTGGAAGGTCTGGCTGTGGCAGAGCTGGAGATGATTTACCATAACCTGCAATATAAAGTGGTCCCCATGGTACTTGGACCTTTAAAGGGACCGGGGAAATGGCTGTTTTAACAAGCTGCGGTGCCATTTAGCGCAGAGGTGTCTACGTAAAAACCTAGCTCTTATAAGCCCATTAGTGATTTGAATAGGCCACGTGAGGTTTATCTTCGTAAAATGTAAGGGAATGAACTGAATCAATCTTCTTTTACCTGTCTTTCGGTCATTCAAATGCCACATCGACATGCCACATGCCACATACCACATTGAAGAAATATATCGCTCAATGCTCGTTTTTTGAACAAACTTTTTTTTCAATTTTAGCTCACGTGAGCTAATATCATCACAATTCCAACAATTGAGTTCGCAGTCCCATGACAGCTTTGTAGTAAATCCTGAGGCAACATGGTATAAAACAAATTTATGTGGTCTCCTAAAAAGACGCCAACGCCATTGCGATCCTCTGTAGAATGTTTCTTCGTTGAGAGTTTCACATCATGGGGCGGATACCCGCATTTATTATCGGACCGGCAAGAGTACTCGAACAATTTAAATTGCAATTCAGATGGTCAAGAGATGCAGCTGAAGTGAATGGAGAGTACAAGCCCGTAACAAACTCTTTCAGTAAGTGAAAACTGATTGTGAATTATGGCTAAGCATGGTCATTGTTTTTAATTTGAAATTGTTTTTAAAAGGTTCTTATTACATGATTATTATAAAAATAGAAAATACTTTCAGTATAGCTCGGTGGAATTGATTTATAGAGTTACTCCCTTAACATTTGACCCTCTTGTACTTACCTGAATATCTCCCTTTTCCCGAATGTTTACATTTTGTCAATGCTAATATTAGCAAGTTTTTTTTAGTCTTTCTGGACTCTGGCGTACCGCCAGCTAAATAATTGTTTAGTATTTTGAATCGATATAACCAATCCAGTACATAATACCTACTTTTCGATTCGTTTCTTTGGTGATGACAGCGTTATGTACTGGAATTTAACTGGATAGTTTGATATTTACCAGCCTCGAACGTATATTTATACGTTGCCCATTGCTGGGGTTCTCGGATGATGAAATGATAAGCTGCTAAATATAAGCCAATGAGTGTCCCGTTTTAACACTGCACGTCCTACACATTACATTTCCGAAAATGCTAGCGTTTGTTTCAGCTTAAATATACCTTGGAATCGGTAGAACCTCTAAATTCTCCTGGAACTCATGTTAGATATGTTAACGGCAATGCAAACCGCAGGCTTGGTTAACTAAACTAGAGTAACTTTAGATGCTTGCGATGCAGGCGTAGAGTAAGTAACTCTACGCTTGCGATGTGGAGTTTGACAATGCCACACATTTTCGTATACCGAGCATAAGGAAGTGCGACCGTCGCTCTTTCAGCAGACGCGACGGGGGCGATGACATGCGCCGTCGTGTGCTTTCAAATTTGGCCTGGGCAGCTTGAAAGGTGTTCTCTTTTTACGATGTATGTTATATCAATGTTCTAAAACATGTCTTTAATTATAAGAGAACAATATTGGACAGTATTTTGTTCATCCATTCAATGTTTAAAGATTCATAAAGCTTCCAGCTTGTTAGACTATTGTGTAGGGTCTACTTTTCGCAAGCACAAAGTAGAAAACATGTAACGACCCAAGTTAACTTTGGCGCGGTACGTACGCCGGCGGTGGCCTTGTCTACCGGAAGCGCCCTCGCTATACTTATTGTGCTCTTGCGGGCAGTTGAGCTAACATGAAGGAATTATTAGCACGACCTGTACTTTTTTCCCTCTTGCTCGTTGTCACTGCTTATTTCACAAGCTTTACCTTCATCACCAATTCGGCTGTTGGTGACTAACGCTTACACCGTCTTATCACTCAGCTCGTCACAATCATACTTCTAAACTTCACAACAAATTTTAAGAGTCAGACATTCAACATCGAGTTTATAGCTCAACCGTCTCTTTATTATAAAATCTTCCGCCCTTCTTTCCTGGAATTACTAGTGTATTTTAGCATACTTATTATCAGTTAATTTAATTGCTGTTCTCTGTATTCACTTCCCTTATGAATATAGGCGTGTTCGTTGAAGTTAAATATCTAAATTAATAGACCATATTATTCGTACTCTTTTTAATAATACTAGCAGCAATTATTACCGCTGCAAGAAACATACATAAATTTTGAGGTTTTATTTGTGCCTCTCTTTTACTTGAAGTACTATGTGCCGGAGTGCTACAGGAGCCCCTCTACGCATACCAACTTCCAGTGTAAGTATACCGAGTATCTTCTGCCTTCAAATCGTCCTGTACTTTCTCTAAGATATTTGCAAGAGAGAAAACAACTTTGAGCCATAAGGCTATTTAATTTAGTGGTTAAGTGCGTAGTTCATTCATTCGTTTTATGCGCCGCATAATTTAAAACCTCGATTGCGTTATTATTTTCTCTCTGGAAGCTTTTAGCTTCTTCTCATTTGAGTTATACAATCCTGTCGGAAAACATGACCTTACATCAAATACGTTCAGTGTTACGGGCTGTGCTAGTCCCATTGTCAGACGCGAAGTTCTAAAGAACAAGATAAAATAACGCCCTTCCTTGGAGCACACGGTTGCAATCAATTTTAAACTTATTGCAGAAATGTACTTCAAATGCCATGATAAAGTTGTACTTTTCAAAATATGAGAATCATCCTTCATTACACGTTACCTACCCTATTAAAAACAAACCTTCATACTCTTAATGCCCTTGAAAGTTCTAGACATAGCTGTGTTTCAAATTCCTTCAGTCCTTAAAACCCCTTCATTCCTCCAAACCCACAGCCCTTCAGACACTTCAGCCTTTCCGACCCTTTAGCCTTTCAATTCCTTAGACGCCCAGGTGATTTTGAGACACAGACCGAAAATGCAGGCTCTAAAATGTCATTGGAAGTTTGCTTTTTTTACGTTTGCTTTTGCATGCATGTTCAAACTCGTAAAAAATAAGTACCAACGTGTACTCAAACACGGGCGCAAGCAGTGTAGAAAGAAGCCATCAGACCAAATTGCGGCTACCGAGCTCTTTTTTCGTCAAAAATATCGTTCGAGGTACTCACAATTCCGCTGATAAATTTCTGAGATGTAAGGTATTTAAACTCTTACAATTGAGTGGGGGCACCAGACGCACACACGTTCAGTAATATGTTTAACAAAAACCACGAACGCGAAGCCAACGCCCGCTGCCGTTGAAAAATCTTGAGCACGGTCATGGTGCTGCGCTTGGTGCCGTCGCGGCGGAGTCCCCGGCGTTTCTTTTCGCTCGATGGACGATCTTTCGAAGCCGTGCGGCTTACTCGATACAAGAAGCAGGGCACTGAGAAGCCTGCTTCCTTATCCGCACACTGAGCTGCTCTAGGAGATAGATCCCACACATGGGACAGCAAGCCGACTCTGAGCGAACTTTCCTTACGGCCGCCCCATACAAAATGAACAAACGGCTTCTCAGACGCATGTAACTTGAAGGGCCACGTGGCTTATCCTTGAAACGAATTAAAAATATTTGAACGGGTCACGTGCTTTCCCGGGAAATATTTTGGCATACAACACATGCTTCTCAGAAAAATGTAACTTACCTCTAAGACTCTTCAACAATTCATCAAGATTTATTTTAAAACTATGACGGACGTCTCAAAACTCTCAGGAACTGCTGAAAGGTATGTCAGGAGCTTTCGGAAATTCTAGTGTGGCCCATAGACGTTCCTTGGTGTCAACTTTCGTGTTTCCTTAGTCTTGTGTTTCATCAAAAATGTAACGTAATTGTACGAGTATTGCCCAGAAAGTAATGCCTCCTCTTTTTTGGAGGGAAACTGTTTACTGAAATTGTTAAAAATCACCACAAACTATTACTTCACATTTCAGCCCTACATTCTATTTTTACAGAAGCTCCGCCTAGCTTTATGGTTTTGCGCTCGCACAAAATAAGGGCATGCATGTCACCCCGTACCAGCTTATTTTATTTTTACATAGTCATGTCTGGACCCCACGAATGACACTCTCGTCGTTTTGAAACTTTGTTCTGCCAAGTCCACCTTTTGGAGGGCCAAAAAGATTCCAATTTGAGAGGTAAAATCAGAACTATAAAGAGATGGGACATTACAGTCCAAGCGTTTGTCTCATGGGTTTTGAGACTGGTGTTAGGGAGGGCTTTGTCGTGCTGAATCAAAATGTCCCCTCGCTTCGTGCCAAGCCGCATACTTCGGTAACTCCGCGGAATTTTGCCTTCTTTACTGCCTGAATGTCCTAGGGATAATTTTTAGGCTTTGATACGTTGATCCTAACACATATCAACGGCACGCAGCAGCGTGTCTGGGTAATTCCCGGTGCCAGGACTCCTGACTGCGGCCAATATGTAGTGTCTCTAATGCCTTAAGGAACACTGAAATAAAAAAAAAATACATTTTAAAATGCCCTTCTACAACACGTATTTTGTTGGTTTGTTTTAATTTTTTTGCGTAGAAAGTTTTTACGGGCACTATTTGCGCCGTCAGGCACAATTTACGTCGAGGTAGCCCTAGCAACGCCCAGGAACGTGACTAGCTCCGTTCCATTTCTCGGCTTTCAATGGATGGAGAGATGATTGTCGCGTGGAATGTTTGCTCTAAAACTAATTCTCCTTACCGCGAGGGTCTTTTATTAGACTATTGTTTATTCTTCACAAAAAAAAAATATATATACAAACTCATTATTGTTTTAGAAAACATCACGAGATTGTATTTTACGCTTTGGTTTCAAACGATAGCATACATGGCTGCCGGCGTTTGCAGCGAGCGGTTGCAGGAACCGTGTGGCTCGCTGAGGTCGCCTGGTTTTAATAGTGCGAATCGGTTCACGTTCACAGACGTGTCTAGCGGAGAATATCCTCATCCTCAACGGACGTAGTTTGCAGCAAAAAATTGTCGAGAGTACGCGCTTTCGAAAGCGCTGTACGGGTCCCTGTTTTTGTAGCGGGACTGGCATAAGCATAGCGTCCCACGTCAACCAATATGCTTGACTTGTCTTGATTCGTCCGTTTGAGCGTTTTGAAGCTGAAAAAATGTGTCATTTCCCGTGAAAGCGGTCCCGTTACTCTGAGAATCGTGCAACACTCGTGATGGCGACAAGGTGCGTATGTAGGTGTTTCCAGACGGAGGGAGAGATCACAACATCAAATATTTGTAACCCCCCCCCTCCCGCCGTCTTTTCCCCGTTCTTAACTTTTACACACGCTGAATTCAATATGGCGGGGAAGGGTTAGGGCATATGGACCCCCCATCTGAATCCGCCACTGATTGCGACCATGGTTTCAGCAATAAGAGGTAACATGCACAGGAAAACATTTGCGAGTCATATCGTTAAGAAGTCGGGTGTTCGCGTCGCATCAGGTTTTTCCAGGTATGTTTCCGCCATTTTGCTTAAGAAGGCCTGTTGCACTCAAGTTTTGGGCAGTCCATCTGAGTTGCTAGAGCGAGTATTTTTAGGTCGCGTTTTAATTGTTCGTCATGACACCCACCTTGCTCGCGGACGCTACCTCAGAAACAGCCGCAGACATTATTGGTACAACAGGGGTGGGGTGAATTCCTAATATTGGTTCAGGGTGGTTGTGGGGGAGAATAATTCAGGCGACGGGAGCGACCTTAAGAAAAAGTCGCGGCGGATGGCGCCCAGGAGATTATGCCGGCTGTCGCCGCCGTGTCACATGGTGCCGCCTAATCCAGAAGGACCTCAAAGCTGCGGCTAACATTTTTCTCTGAAGAGAGATCACAGTACGTTTAAATAATCCGCGAGGTGTGCCCGGTGTACATCATTGAAGTCAACTAGCGATTTCCCGTCAACAAAGTTGCTCCCGCATCGCTCAAACAAGTGTAAAAGAAGAAAACACGAGTCAAGAGGTTTCGAGGGTGGCAACAGCACCCTTCCCCTCTCCCCGCCCCTCTCCTCCTTGAGATCGTCACTGCGCTCTGCAAGCAGACATCAATACCAAAAGGCTGAGAGGACGGTATATTTATTTTCCTTTTGTTTTTAAATTCTTTCGGACGCTTTTTACCTTACATCCACAGACGGTGACAAACTCATGTATTAGACCGCGTATCTTGCATGATAAAAGGTTAGAACGTTTTTTCATAAGCACATCTTACGAGCATCGCAGACGGTATTAGGGGGGTACGTAATAGCGGACGGATGCAAGCAATGGCGAACGTGGACGCGCCGCTTTCATGGCCGCATCTTACGTGCGTTCCAGTGGTGGTAGTAGAGTGTGTTCTGACAGCAGACGAACCCGTACGCTGCTCCGCATGAAGGTACGTAGAAGAAAAGGCGACACGGCCGGTTCAAGCCAGCAAGACGAGAAAATTCCAACTTAAGCCGGAAGTGAAGGTAGCGGTCCGTGGGAACGCCCCCAATGCTGCCCAAGTCCACCCAATAGTCTAAGGGTGCCCAAGTCAGTCCAATAGCGTCGTTTGGTTCTGGTTGTTGTTAGAGGTGGGTTCTCCCAAACTGGAAGTCTCCCCCGGCCTCACCTCTTTTAGCGTCATGTCGCCTCCACAAGCTTCCTTGTTTCATTCTGTCGCGCGTCTTCCCGCACGACTAGCAGACGGTGTCAGACGGCAGACTAGAGATGCCGGACTTCGTGGCAGGAAAACATTGGACTTGCGAACGTGTTTAGCCTAGCAGCCAAGTCAATCCAGTGCTAATAGGCGGGGCCAGCGTTCTGTGGGCGGGGCAAGGACGTTTAAGTACCCGAGGATCCGAGATGGCGGTTACCTTGACTGGCGCAGCAAGGGCAACGTGGTGTTTTCGAAGTTCTCTGTTACGTAAAATTGCGTGGTGTTCAGCTCGGCAATTCTTTCTGGGACCTACCACGGTCGAATCAGATCGCCGTGCAGCTGAAGGAGTGCACAGTGAAAATGTTCGCCCCTCGGAATGTGCGTCGACGATGCGACCTGCTCAACGCTAAGCCTATTCCCACAGTTCATCGCCGACGGACGAACGGCTCTAAAAGAAATCGCCGAAGTTCTCGCTATCCACTGGACATCAGTAGGTCAGGAATTTCATTCTGCGATAGCATTGATAAAAGGTGCCGTTTCCACGGGACGACTGGCTCCGTGATCGAATTTGGCTACGCACTCGTACTCGTAGCCTCTCAACCACCGAGAAAAGCGCGCTTGACGAGACAGCTGCGGCTTGGTTTAATTTGAAATAAAATAATTGGACACGTTTTCATTTTCAATATCTCTTTCCAGGATCATGGTTGCGCTATAAGCACCCGAAATTCTACTGCTCTAGCAAATTTAACCAAGATCATGCGCGGTGTTCACTTGAAAACCTAACGCACAACTAAATTCGGTCCGAGCAGGTAATTTTTAGCGTACGTTACGCTATTGCGTATTACGTACGTAAGAGCCAGCAACGCTATACTAAAACTGTCTAGTGTGTGAACCGGCCTTTGGGCTACGACTGCTCTGCGCCTCCAGTCTGCTTCATCTACCCGCTCTCTCAGATGACTTTGGATACAATTGGCGCTCCAAAAGAAGTTTCGATGAGCACGCGCGTTCTCATCATGACGGAGGGAAACAAACACTTGTTCGAAGCAGTGCTAGTACAATCTTCTGTCAACCCGGTGCCATTCTCAGGGTTCCTGCGTTCGACGTCTGATAACGCTCGTTTTCCAAAGCCGCGCGAGCTATGACGACTCGCTCTAGACGACGCTCCCGGCGCGGTATCGAGTGCGTTCGCCACACACCCACTTCCTACTAGACAGGCAAGCACTAGGCTCCTAAGCTCAGTGGACGCCGCCATGTAAATATGAGGCACGCAACCACGATGCAAAACAATACCATGGCAACGCGGTTCTTTTCCCCCTATTTAGATGGTAGCGTCCGTTAAATGAGTTTCCTAATGATGATGTAATTTACTCGAGACTGCGGTAAAAGTTGGCGGACTTGGTATAAGAAAAAAAGACAGGAAAAGGATCGCCTCATTGGCCGAGAGACTGAAGAGACACTTCGTGGCCACGCCCACTTCCGTCACACTTAACTTCGCTTTATACACAAAGAATACGGACGCCGCACCCTCCCCACTAAAACCTCCTTGTGTCGGGACCTAGAGTGGGTGGTGAATTCCGCCTACATTGCGTCTAGCGTCCAAAATATAACTTTGAAACGCGTGTTTGTCACCTTGTTCCTGTCCCTCCGAATTTATCTTGAAGTTTCAGTCCCAGTCTCAGTGTTTAAACATCATGACTCAAACGCACCAGCTTGGCCATTCGTTTACCATTTTTCTTGAATATTTTGCAAGATTCTTTTTCGTTGAAATATTTAAAATAATTACAATCCTTATTTACCCTTTAGAGGTTGTTTTTTTATTTATTTAAAAAGAAATATTAAAAAAAACTTTAGATGTTCTTTTGTTTTTGCAGTTTAGTGTTTTTTTAATTTTTTTAACCCGGCGTCGAACCGTGTGTATATAGATTATAGATTAAACAACTTCTAAACACAGCATGCAAAAAAGTAGACAATTTGTTGTTTCCTTTTTGCCACTGAAAATTGTTTCTTACCACTCGTTGTTTGTAACACATCCCACATCCTCTGCGCAACGAATGTTGAATTGCAAACTTCCTTACAAAAAGCTCCAATATGGCAACCTGAAAACGTTTAGGTTACAGATATTTTGCGCGAGAAAAATAAGAGGCGCGTTACTTTCCGCGAAACCAAGAACTCGCTATATCTAAAATAATGGTGTGGTTTCTATATAATATCAAGCGAGCTGACATCACTCTTCAAAAAACTTTAAAACGTTTTATTATGCGTGTTTTTATTTCAATCATCGTTCACCCCTTTTCGAGTGACCTGAGTTTGCAATGAACTCCAGAAACTTTTGTCAAGTTAGGTAATACAGCTTAAACTTATAAAAAAAACATCATAAAGTAAATAGTGAATATCATATTTATTAATGTGCAAGTTATAACAAACACATGTATACGTTACTAAAATAGTTGCTGGTTTAGTTATGCAGTCCCCCTTCTTTCATCCAAATTACCATAAAAATAAGTCCCAAAACATTTTAAACATAAAATATATGCGACCTTCTGTGACACGGATTAGCGTTACTTATCAGGTAGTTTATTTATTTTTAATGGGGCTCCCCGGAACTTAATATCCGCGGTTGTAGAAAACAATTTTCAGAGGCTATACGCACAACTTTTGATAGGTTGCCTTGCTTTCATATAAGGTTTTTAAACCGAATTAGAAGCCCTCTTGAAGATTGGAGTTTCTATAATCACGTTTTTTTATGTATCGCGGAGGGTAAAGATTTATGATGACAGCATGGGTCTTAGAGTGCGCGATTACTATAAAAAAATATAGAAAAGGGTCGCGCGAAGAAAGGTCAAAGTAGAAGAAAGAAAGATAAACCCGAGCCACGGCATTGGTGTCTCGCACACTATATAAACAATACACCCATTCTTTTCCTAAAACCAGAACTTGACTCTCATTACGCAACAAGCCGTAGTGCAATAAGATACAAACTTTGTATTTTGTCTTCTCTGTAGTTTCTATCTGCTCATAAAACTATTACTTCTGTCTAGAAAGTATCGACTCCACGCTTAAATAATGTGTTCCGATTAGTCGTATACTATTGTTTATCAAGAACCTTGCTAAACTAGGTTGCGCAATTTCGAAAAAATATTTGTTGAACAAATTGCAACTTTAATCTGTGCAGTGCTGCCAGCCTGGGAAGTTCAGGTTTTTTTGGAGGCCACGAGCTCACACATGGCTTTGACAGTAAAGGTAACGTGAGGTTTTAGTATTTTTTTGAAACGCGAAGAACGTTGATCTTTTGTAGCTGCGACAAGTAAAAATATAGTTGCGTTAAGAGTGATAGGGCCAGTGTACAATAAGATAAAATTAAATAATAATATTAAATCCTACATGTTTTTACTGGAATACCAGATGAATTACCAGGTCTCGACAAGGGGGTCACTCGCAAAAGCGCAGGGCGAGCCGCGAGAACACTGTTTTTTTTTTCTTATTCTTTTTTTTGCCCACTCATTGCCAATAATCTGCATAATCTGTTCAAATTTAGTAGAGAAACGTAACTTCGAGCTTAAAAATTAAATCAAATTCAGTTTCATATAAGGCTCAATTCTTTTAGATATTTAGCTTAACTAATATTTTACGAACACAGTGCAATCATTAAAATTTAATTAAAATTGTCACCTATAAATATGAGTCTACAAAACGTGAAGGTAACTATTTAAGGTTTTACTGTTTCACAGGCAGGGACTTTGATGCCACTGGAAAAATGTCAAAATGGTGGACTCCAAAGGATATAGCTGAATTTACAAGGAAAGCCCAGTGCTTTGTGAACCAATATTCACAAATATATGATGAAGAAGCCGAGGAACATGTACGTAACTTGTGTTTATGTTTAATATCCCGTGACGTCATGCAACACAGCCAGATGTATAACCTGCCTTTTCATCCCATTATCTCTTTTTGATAAGCCTGCATTTCCCTCAACAACCAATTTCGAGGGCTGTTGAGGGAAATGCAAAGGTGCAAGCGAGCTGGACAAGAATGACAAAAATAATCCCTGGAGAAGGGGAACAAGAGGGACAAAGGACAAACATAAATCTCCAAACACAGCTAGGTGACTGGTGAGCGACCGAAAAAATGTTTGTCCTTTGTCCCTCTTGTTCCCCTTCTCCAGGGATTATTTTCGTCATTCTTGTCCAGCTCGCTTGCACCTTTGCATTTAACTGCATTATAATTATAACCTTAAATTGCAAGCTTCACCCTTGTTGGTGTTCGACTGGTGGCAGCTGATAAAACCCGTTTGCTCTACTGACTTCTAACCCCTGGTTAGCTCAGTTGGTAGAGCGCTCCACTTGTAATGGAGAGGTCCCGGGTTCGATACCCGGACCAGGCGGATTTTTTCGGTCGCTCACCAGTCACCTAGCTGTGTTTGGAGATTTATGTTTGTCCTTTGTCCCTCTTGTTCCCCTTCTCCAGGGATTATTTTCGTCATTCTTGTCCAGCTCGCTTGCACCTTTGCATTTAACTGCATTATAATTATAGCTGCAAGCTATACCGTAATTTATTTTGACAGCAGCTTGTTTCTTTGAGTTAATGGACCTCCTGCCAAGGGGTCTTTACAGCAGGGCCCAAGCAAATTAACAGTCATGTTTATGTTGTGTACTTGCAAACTTAAATCTCTAAGTAAGATTAAAAAGTGTTTTTATGGGTCTATTTTTACGAACAAATTTTATTGTACTTTGATTATTCATCACTTTCGCGTAGACATTTTCTTCGTACCTACACTTCACGTAGGTACAAAATAGGATGATATATGATCAAAGTATTTTTTAATTCCCTATTACAGCCCAGTGGAACAAGAAATGAGGTCATGTTAGTGTCTAAGTCATGCCTAAGTCATGTCTAAGTAAGATTAAAAAAGGGTTTTAGGGTCTATTTTTACGAACAAATTTACTGTACTTTGATTATTCATCACTTTCACGTAGATATGTTTTACGTACCTACACTTCACGTAGGTACAAATTATGCTGACATATGATCAAATTATTTTTTTTAATTTCCTTGTGCAGCTCAGTGGAACAAGAACTGAGGTGGAGAATATTGCTGACAATGGCGCGATCAGTGCTATTCTATTGGTATTTATATAACTTCATTTCTCTACTGCGTCTGCACTGTTTTTACTGTGTTTGGGTTGCTTTTGAGACAAAAAATGGAGGTGGGCTATTTGGTGGTACATAGTAAACATATAATTAAAGCAGCGTAAAAAACACGCGGATAAGTAGAAGAAGGGACACATATACAGCACTGTGTCTGTGTCCCTTTTTCTACCTGTTCTTGTGCGTTTTGAGCCCTTTTAATCATGTGAAATATTCCGTGCGCAGTAAATTCTGATATCAAGAATTGTGCAAGAAGATTCTCTGTGAGAAAACTTTGTTGCGTCATAGAAAAAATAAAACATTTTACTGCTTTTGAACTACACAACAAACGAGCGCAGGCGTCAGTGTGTATGAAGTGGAGTGTTTTTGTTAAAACTATAATGGTGCAAGGCTTATCTATTTCAAGACGCTATTGCGGATTTATATATTCTGTTACTAAACGTCTTAGTAAAATTAGCGCAAAGACAAAGGAGGAAGAACGTAGAGACAGGATGGAGCGTTACTTACAACTGGCGTTTAATGCTTTGAGAGAAAGACAAAAAAGACGTACTGACATTTAAAAGAAAAAGACACACGAATGAAAACATGAGAACTTGTCAGTGAATTAAGGAGCGGATGAGAAAAAGAAATAACGATAAAAAATAAAAAAGACGATAAACAAGACTGTGCTCGAATTATTAATTTATTTAATGGTGATTTAGTCTATTGTGTAATTTTTAACTATTATCTGTGTTCTGACGCCGGGAACAAGCCGGGACTCGTTGCACCGTTCAATAAGTTTAGGTTCATCCAGATTCTGTACAAACATCAAAGCTTGAGCATCGGCATAACGTTGCCCCGTTCTGGCAAGGAAAGTAAGTGACCGTTGGTCAATATAGTCAAAAGTTATAATTTAAAAATCAGGTTATTCAGTATATCACTATAATTGGAAAGAATGGCTTCAAACTGCAGCAGAAAGTAATGTGATATTTTATGCTCCAGAAAAACAAAAGTAAAATTTCATCAGCACTTCTCAGCATTGAGTTGATGTGCGATCATTTCTGTCATAACTAGAGTTAACTGTCTTTGCGGTTTATTTTTATTCAACAAATTCGGTGTTTTTCCATGTAAATTTTCGGTGTCCGACAGGAAATAGGTGTTTATCGGCCTTATATTGAAGAACTAGGGCACGGACGAAAACTTCCCCAACCTCAAAAGGACATGCTCGCGTTCAAATTACTTAAAAAATGACCTGGTACAAATTAAAACAAAAATGAAGTAAGGATTTTGGTCTCCAAAAAAAAGAATTATCCTCGCGGACATTTGACTATGGCTGTGTGAAAGGTAAACACAAAATAAAATTATAGTTGCAGATTTTTTTCCGCGAAGCATACCTTTTTCTCAGTGACATAAAGCTGTAGTCCAGGGCTCTTCGGTTTTCCCCAATTTCAATTAGAACCGGCTTGAGGTTAGGTTTTGGGGCTTGTCGGTAGTTACCGAAAACACGGTACCCACATCATAACAAAACAAAAAAATGAAGTAAGCGGTCTGCATGTTTGGTATCTTTGAATATTGAGTTTTAATAGGTAATTAATGTAAAGCTTTTGAGGACTATGCCGAAAACACCACTTCACACTGTACATCCGTGAACTCTAATACCCTGCCCGTCATTAGATTAATTATAGTGCAATGCAAACTTAACACTTAAAGAGCGAATTTAATTTATTTATTTCCACAGACCACAAATACTCTGCCTTGAGGCGCCTTGAGCTTATATCAACCTCAAGATGGTTAGCATTGGTGTGGTACAAATAGTACAGACTCATATGATTATAGAGACTAATGTGACGAAACTGAATGTCGGATAGGGTATGCTGCCATCAATCGTAATAATGTGAAATCATTATTCTCAAAATTCAACTCGTGTCTCGCCATGCTTTGTGCTTAAACAATTAAAGTCACCCTTTCTGCACTTTAATAAAACAATATATTTACTGGAAGCTGCAGCAGAATGTGGCAATTTTTATCCTCTTCCATACAGCCCGTCAAAGCGCACTGCCCACGCATTTCAAAATGTTGAAGAATGTGGTACCTCGCGCAGTTTTTCTAGAAACACTATGAATGCCCTGCTCTACAAAACATTAAGTATAGTTTTAATGAACTAGTATTTTATTTTCGCAAATGTGTGTACCGAAACAACATAACATACCTCTCTTGTGAATATTATAAAGTGAATTATAACCTTATACACCTAAAACGGTATTATAACCATTTTGTGCAAAGTCTCTGTTCGCTCTGAATGCCCCAGTTGTGTAGTTATGTTTCTGATTCAGATGTCCTGGCTTTATAAACTTGCAACTGAAGGGCTTGCTTTTATCACGGATAAATTACCCAGATTGAAGACCACTGGAATTTTCTATTTTCCTTACCGATTATTAGGCTCTCAGCAGTGTATTAAAAACTACGCCTCAAGCGGACGTTAAACTCCCAGGACTTGAGAAGCGTTCCCCACAGGAGCTGTTATTTCTTGCATATGCAAATGTGAGTAAGACGCTGAGTTATAAATTTCTTTTAATTCAATCTTTTTTTAAAGACTCCGTTGTTACAACGCTGACTATTAATTGTATTTATTGATAGTCAAATATGTTTTTAATTATTTACGGTGTCAAACCTTTCTTTTTATTTATTTACAGTACTGTTAGCTTTTTTGTGTTGACTCATAAGTGTTTTTTTTCAAACAAATACATGAAAGAAAATCAACAACCGTACTGGAACCAATAACCACAAATACGATCATCGTCTGGCAATCTCCCGGTTATGCATCAGCGAAAACAGAATCACCACACGAACATCGTTTTAAGAAAACTAACGCGTCTTTGATAACAAGTCACGTAACACTTTCAAACTTCTCTAAACAATCGACCGAAACAAACATTACCGGTTTGAGTTGAGCTAGTTGGTGCATGGTCACTGATGCTGGGAAATCAGCTTGAACAGTAAACGATTACCCAACAGAAAGGTCACCGCCCAAATTATTCCACTCCTCAATAGACCCTATGCTAAATTGTTTGGACGTCTGGCAACACTGTGCGTTTCCATCTTGGTTGCGTTCCGATTCCTCTGCTGTTTGGCTTTGTTGTGTTGTCGGTAACAATCGAGGCCTATATTCACCCTCACCTGCGAGCTGAGGGTTAGTATTGTTTTACGCCCTTCTTGCACATGTACATGCTAGTCACCCCGCCGGTCTCTGGTTGCACGCCGCAACCAACATGGCAGAGGTACACTTTAGCTTCAAATTTGGCTTTGAGTGCCGGCAGAGGCACGGTCGCGGGCGCGTAGTTCTCGAAATTTCTTTTTCTGCGCGAGTGTTTGTGCGAGCGAAGGATTCTTCAGCAATGCGCTGTCGCGCTAAGGCCTTAGCCAGCGTCGAAGCCAATTGGTGAGATGGAGCATGTTCTTCGGCGCCCCACTAGATTGCATCGTGCATTTTGCTCTGATTTAGTACTTTTATGTACTTTTCTTGTACCATAAGTAGCGGTAAGCGGCATTATGCAGATAATTTATAAAGGTGGTTTCCTTGTATTTTCACAGTGGAAGCCGATGTTTTCCTAATAGACTTGTGTTTTGGGGCGGCTATCTTTTCTACGAAAATCCTGAATGTCTTTATGAGGAAACCTGGAAATTCTTTCTCATAATCTAGAGAGTCCGCAATCCATTCCTTTTTCGCCAGCGTGTGACACTTCTGTTACATTTTTAATTCTGTGTAAGACATTCTCTACCAGTGCTTACATATTTTATTCTAAAATCTTCGCATTCCATACCACAATGGGTTGCCAAAGAATTAAATATATGTATATGTAATATTAAATGAGCAGATTTAAGACACTTGCTATAAAGCAAATTAATAAAAAAACGGCATAACTAAGCTTAAACAATAGAAGAGTATTAAACAAAATCAGTGTAAAAATAAGGATTACAAACAAATATCAAACTTCTGGACGAAGGAGTACTTTCTTTGTGCTTTGTGATATGAAAAAACAAATATTATTTTTATACTTCGCTTTGCTATATGATGTACAAATATAAACTCACTTATGACATGTCTTTGAACCGTCGATATTCAATAGTGAGTAGCTTATTTATTACGGCATAAAACAAAAGATTAAGAGGTTTAAAGACCTTATTGAATATGCAAGTATAAATCCAGTTTAAGCATGTGTTGAGCATATTTGTTTTCACAAACATGTCGCGCATTCACAAAGTTTATCCTCGCATCAGAGAGTCACCGATCACACGTTTTGTAACTTCTAAAAACATATATACTTCTTTATTTCCACGTTTCTTTTTACTTACTTCCACGTCAATTTTTATGCAACCAAGCTTATCAGTATACTTTGTCATGTGTTATATCGTAATAATTTTGTAATCAATCTAAATCTAAGCCAATTGCCGCGAAAAAGCTAAAGTGAACCTGTACTCTCTGCGGCGCTGTTAGGCCGAACAAATTATAGCCGGTTTCCTCAGTTTTTTCTATCAGTATTGAAGGGCTCTCTTTGAAATTTAATAGCAGTAAAGTGCTCAGCTCGGATACTAACCTAAGTGATACAATTTGGTGCCTGCCAGTATACTTTTAAAATGAAATACGAAAAAGCACCAAACTCCTGTTCACGCTAACAGTTTCACGCCTTGTACACACGTCAGGAGGCCTCAGTCGCGTGAAGCGGAATACTTTTTAGATTAAAAGGTGTTATACACACGCTAATCAAAATACCTTGATGATGTTGATCTGTCTACAACAACCAACTGACACAGAGCTCTTGTGGAATATTTCACAAAAACTTGGTAAATAGTTTAGATCCTATAAGATTTTTAACTCACGTATTTATCAGCCTTAAAAAATGCTACCGGGTGACGTTGTTCGTAATCTTGCGGGAACTTATTTCTGATACAGATGGTTGAGCGTGTTGGTTTATAATTTACGGCAACGAAAAAGGGACATCAGAGGCACATTTCTATGTCCCTCCTTCGTTATCGTAATTTGTATCTGAAGTCCTACATTTTACAGTACATTTTTATTACCTTTTTTCCTTCGTTTCCTTATGGGAAACAATTTGTCTAAGCTCGTCGTCATTGGCTAACCCGTTTTAATCACTGCCACAAGGTTGTCATTAGCGCATTAAAATATATGTTCCTTTTTTCTTGAAAAGTAATAGTTTGACAGAATGATCGCATCGACCTCATCGCCGTGAGATTAAGCGAAAATTCTATTCGCGAAATTTTACGTTAATGCGATTTATTCGTATTTATTTATTTATTTATTTATTTATTTATTTATTTATTTGAAATACTGCGACCTTGCGTAAGGCAATTGCAGCAGGTGAAAGAAGAAATACATGCATTCTATACAAACAAATGAAGCATCAAGTACCCGCTCTATGGTATAACGCCATCAGTAATTTAACAGAGGGTTCAAGGAAGACAAAACTACTAAATTCTCCGCGTACACTGCGTACACTTTTTTTGTAATACAGCAAACAAAACCATACAAAACTAAACTATTAAACTTCTAATGTAAATATCTCAAATTCGAGTGAACGATTTGCTCCATCAATATTTCAGTTTTCGATATTATAGGAAAGAGCGAGTATTTGACACAATTAAGGGGACAGTTATACAGTACAATATTTAAGGGGTGAAAGCTTCGCATACTTGATTGTGTAATACATTTTCTGTTAAATCTCCAAGTGCTGCGTTAATAAGCTTCCTATCAAATTGGTCTCACGCGACTTGAAGACACTTTAAGGCGTTCATAGATTCACGCAAAACGTAATTGACTAGATTATGTTATTCTTTTATAAGTGTCTGATTTTCATAGTGTAAAAAAATTTTAGCATTATTTCAGTTTAAGTGAAATTTCTGGGAAATGAGCACGCAATCAAAACTGCTGCATAGTTTATGTTTCGTGATAACAGTTTTTTTTTTTAATTTTAGTAGTTAGAGAAAATCGTTTAATTCATTAAAAACACAAGTTTCGTGTTCGTGTCAGTTTATAATAGTAAAAACTTGATTAAAAATATACAACATATACATGGAAGAAGACAAAAAGCTTTTCCGCTGTTTTCTTTTTTTAACGCGATACCGTTAAGGAGCTTGAATCACAGAAAAACCGACGTCGGTGGTGTGACGCAAAATCTTGATTGGTCGATAGGATCATGACGTCATGGTCTCCTGACCTCGCGTTGGAACTTCGAACAACCAAGCACGCTCACGTGAAACGTGTCGTCGCGCGCGGAATGAAAGTGATTAAAACGTGACGTGGTAAGGCCAATTCTAGTTCGCAGCATGTCTCAATGATTGCACTTTCTAAATTAATTAATTTTACCTAAAGAAAACTTTAAAGACTTTTAGGCGGAATTAGAACCCACGACCCTTTGGTTACGAGCCAGACACGCTACAGACAAGGCCACGCAAGGTACGCTTGCACGGCGAATGAGAACGCGATGCAAACCGTGCCCGATAACACTGTCGCGTTCCGCTCTTAAAGGCGAAGCTTAAGCGTGCTCCAAGTTCTTATTATGTTGCAGTGAATATGTATGTTCATATAATAAATATTATAATAAAACAAATCTCTGTCTTTGTGAAATTGCATTGTCACATGTTAATACTCATTAATCGGTGGTTTCCAGACAATGTGCAACAAAATGACAAAGGCAGCACGAATATATCACATTGGACAAAATGCACACAGCCTACCAATGCACAGGTAACTATTGTCTACTTTAAATTTTATTGAAACTATTAAAGAACGTGAATTTCAATGAAATTGGAAAGTATTTTGAAGCAACTGTATCAAAATTGTAACATTTCGACCAAAGTAAATCACTAATTTAAACACCTTATATACTAAGCGATAATAAATAAACAATGCATTTAGTAAGTGATTGGCACTGAGAAACTGCCTACAAGCGTACTTTGAAAAATAGAAGACACGAAACGTTGTTTAGCCCACAGGACAGACTTATATCGCCTTTTACCCGGCGGTGTGGGCTTGCAGAACACCTCTGGTTGAATACATTCTATTGAAGTGCATTTATAAGATATTGAAACCACTGAAAGACAAGACGGCTTAGTGCAGTGGTTTCTTTTTTGCTTCAAAAAAAAAAAAAGAGAAAACCTGAGTTCCATTCCCGGCTCCGCCAAAAGTTTGTCTTTCGGCGCCTTTGTAAAACTTACTCCGTTTTAGCAGCATGGTTTATTCATCTTCATATTTGGGATATGCAAAGGGAATAAATCATGACCAAAAACTACTGAGCACAAATAAAATGCAGCTTCGAAAAACAATACGGGTTTATTTGTTCCGACAGTAGCCGAGGGCCTCGACTTGTTTAAGGAATGACACGAGGTCAGGGACTGAAGACAGTGAGAAAGACATCTGTTGGGCGAGAACAACGTAACACCACAATTAAAATCAAGAAGAAAAATAAAACATGGCGTGCACCCAACCATAACTATGTAATCCATAGCACACATTTCGGTGTCTAAGAGAAAACGTCCGGCGCATAATATTTTTTAAGTCAGTGAAATACGGTATATATAAAGGCAAAGAGGGTGCTTGACATTATTTCAAAATGACTTAAAAAAGCATTAACGGTTCATGAACGCAGGCCACGGAGATGCGTTATAAAGCCAGGGGGAAACAATATAGGGACTAAATGTCATGATAATTTGAATAAATATCTACAGATTTTTTATTAACTTCATAACGAGAGAAAATTTACATACGGTTCCGCTTGAAAACCTGCTGAATGTCGTCTACAACCGCTAAATCAGTCAATTTTAGGAAGACTTGAAGCACGAAGGAAGCGTGGGTGTGCGCAAACTTGCCAGTCGCGCAACAGGCTGAAGGCTGGCGGTGTGAAACAGCTGAGGATAGGGTCATCATCTTGATTTTCGCACCACCATTCTCGCGTTTTCCACTTCAAAAGCGGAAAACGGCTTAAAGCGTTTGCCGCTGCTTTTGTTTCCTGGACAAAACTTGAGTGCCACAAAACGCGAGAAAACGCGGACGACTGCGCAGTTATCATTTGATATTTTATAACCCATTCTAATTTCAGAGTGAACGTGCCACTGCAAAATCACAAAGAGTTCGCGGACGCATTCAACTGCACTTCGTCGAAAAAGATGAATCCACGTGATCGATGCACACTATGGTAACATAATTTTGTTGCTGTCGTGAAATTGGGAAGAGGATTAAAGTCATATGTTATCTGATTTTCAAGATTGTCCCAAATAAAAGTTCGTCGTCCTTAAATGATTACCTGCCAAAATAATTATATTCATAACATTAGTGTGGGCGCATGGCGTTTCTGAAAATCTAAGGGAAACTAATTATGTTAACACAGTTACATTTGAGGGTTTTAGTAGATGTTTCCTATACCTCCGATAACAATAGCCCGTACTCCACCTGTAGTGTTCGCCGGTGAAGGGAACGGCATTTACGACAGCAGACGGTGAAGTGCGATGGAATGTCTTTATTCCATGTCTAAAACCAAACGAAGAGCGGCCGCACCGGAGGGGCAGGCTAACTTAAAGCATCTTATCATGAAAGGGAGATGGCACAGAATGGAAGAGGAAGCAAAGAGGAAAAGGACAAGGGGAGCATAACATGGGCTTCAACGCCCGCATTATACAGCGTGCCCAAGTAGCACACAGTGGGCTCTAAAAGGGGGGCCGACGGAAGTCCCACCTGGGCTGCCTCGAAGGATTCACAGGGGTCCTACTTGGGCAGCACAGATGTGGTCCCCCCCCCCCCCCCCCCCCGGAAACTTAATTCTGTGCAAACTATTTTTTTCATTCCCTCGCGGTGTAGGGTCTTGCAGTGCATCTCATATTCAGCATGTTTTACTTTTCGCATGTGAGTACTGAAAATATTATTTCCTATTAACAATAAAACGTCTTCAGCAAGACCATGAAAAATTAGGCATTTTAAGTGTCCCAAATGAAACAAAAATTAAAGGATGATCCATTGGTGGATTGAAAACAGCACACACGTCCCCCTTTGGGAAACGCTAACGCTGACCCCCTCACTTTTCTGTTTATGCTTTCCCTCTTGTTTCCTATATTTTTGCTCCCACTTTTTTGGCTTCGTTACAGGGTTAGTGTTAGCGTTTCCCAAAGGTAATGCAAACGTATTTCCTAAGAATCCTCCAATGTATCCTTTTTTGTACTCTCGCTGTCAAAGTACGTCGAAGACCTTGGATACCATCGTGGAACGAGCCACATCCATACCTGTAGTAACTGAATGATTTACCTCCGCTAGGAGGGCGTCGCGTGTTTCGGTCTTTTTCTTCTTTGTCTCACAAATAAACGCCCAGAGACAGTTGGAACGCGGTCGCGATCGAAGCCGGGTGTCTGTTGTCTGGATCTCGGTCGACGACCACCGAGGCGAAGTTATAACAACTGGCGACGAGGATGCGATGAACAGACAGCATGCCGAAGTTCCACGAGCTCCGCCCGGACGAGGAAACGTTCGACGACTACCTGGAGCGCTTCCAGATTTTTGTGCAAGTGAATGCTGTGAAACCAGAGGATGCAGCGGCAACGTTTTTGAACTTCCTCGGGACAAATGCATATCGCACTCTTAAAGAATTGCTGGTGCCCTCGCTTCCGATTTCCAAGAGCTTGTCAGAATTGACGTGTGTACTCAAGAACCACTTCTCGCCGGCCAAGTCTACCATAGCGGAGCGGACGAAATTCCACCGGAGGTACCAGAAGGACGGCGAAAGCCTGGCAGACTTTGTGATTGCCCTCAAGAAGCTGGCCATGACTTGTGACTTTGGTGAATTCCTCGACACTGCTCTTCAAGACCGGTTCGTCGCTGGTTGCCTCGATGCCGAGATTCAGCGACCGCTTCTCGAGATGGATGGCAGTTCCAAATTCGGGGACGTCTACAAGGTGGCACTGGCAAGGGAACTGGCTACAGAGCAGAGTAAAGAGCTGCAGAGACAGAGCGGTCCGGATACCACCGACGTGCATCGGTTGCGGGACAGACAAGACCAGGAACAGCAGCGACAGCCAGGAACTGTCTGCTCTCGATGTGGTTCTTCTGCGCATGAACCTTGTAAGTGTCCATTTCTTAAAGCGAAGTGCTTCAAGTGCGGAAAAGAAGGACACATCAAAAAAATGTGCAGAGGAGAACAGACCAGGGGTAAGCCAAAGAGCTGGCCTAATGTGGGTCCCGGAGACGTGTGCGTTGTGCGTTGTAACGTAGTCGCGGGGGCGCCACCGGTTACGACTACGTAGGAAATAGCAGGTCACGAGGTAGAGTTGGAGGTTGATACGGGCTCTGCAGTTACCCTTATGCCAGAAGAGGAGTATCGAAAGATTCTACCTCGAGGAGTGCTAAAACGGTGTGAGCTCAGCTTGCGTACGTACACCGGGGAAAAAGTTAACGTTGTCGGTGTATCCGATGTCGAGGTAGCTAGCGGTCATGGGAAGCATGTGCTGCCTTTAGTGGTGGTAAGAAACGGCAGTGTGCGGCTACCAACACTGCTTGATAGAAACTGGCTGCAGCAAGTAAAGCTGGACTGGAGGTCAGTTTTCGCAGTTACAGCAGAAGAGAAATCTCTTGAAACATTGAAAGTGTTGTTTCCGTCGGTGTTCAAGAAAGAATCCGGAGCAATAACAGGATTCACGGCAAGCCTTGTTTTCAAGGATAATGCTCAGCCAGTGTTCTGCAAGCATCGTACCGTTCCCTTTGCGTTTAGAGACGCTGTTGATTGCGAGTTGAGGAGAATGATTGACGATGGTATCTTGTCTCCTGTGAAGACGAGTGACTGGGCAACTCCGCTAGTCATTGTTCCGAAGCCCGGCGGAAAGATTCGTATCTGTGGCGATTACAGTGTCTCAGTAAATCCGAACTTGCGCACGGAACACTACCCCTTGCCAATGGTGGACGAGTTGTTCGCAACGCTCACGGAGTGCCGCGTGTTCACGGTTCTTGACCTGCGCGCTGCGTATTTGCAACTGAAACTTGATAGCAACGCAAGGAAAGCGCTGACAGTAAACACTCACCTCGGTCTTTTCGAGTTTTCGCGGTTGCCGTACGGCGTCTCGAGCGCTCCAGCTATTTTTCAGGCTACCATGGATAAGATTTTGCTTGCGTTGCCGAAGGTTACATGTTACATTGACGATCTGTTGATTGGAGGCAGGAACCATGATGAATGTTTCGACAATGTGAAACGCGTGTTGGAACGACTTGCGAAGCATTGTGTTAGCTTGAACCTGGAAAAGAGCAAGTTTTTTGTGCGCGAAGTGAAGTACCTTGGGTATATGCTTGACAAACACGGGCTCCGGCCTTGCCCCGACAAGGTGGAAGCGGTCAAAAGCGCTCCGCCTCCTACAAATGTACATGAGCTCCGCAGTTTTCTAAGAATGTTAAACTTCTACGCCAAGTTTCTGCCAGACTTGGCAGCATTGCTGCGGCCTCTGTACGACTTGCTAGAAAAAGGGGCTGAATGGTTGTGGTCAAAAGAACGTGATGAGTGTGTGAGGAAAGCTAAAGAGCTTCTATGTAGTGCTGATGTCTTGACCTTGTACTGTCCAAGTAAGCCTGTAAGGTTGACCTGCGATGCTTCTAATTATGGTGTAGGGGCTGTTTTGGCTCATGAAGTGAGCAAGGGAGTTTACAGGCCGGTTAAATACGCTTCAAGGACATTGACGACGGCCGAACAAAACTACTCGCAAGTAGAAAAGGAAGCGCTTGCCATCGTATTCGCTGTCAAGAAGTTTCATAAGTACCTTTTCGGTAGAAGATTCACATTGGTCACTGACCACTACCCTCTCACCACACTTTTGAAGCAAGGCCAGTAGTCAACCGGCATGGCAGCTGCACGTATTCAGAAATGGCGACTTCTGTTAGCTGAGTACGACTTTGTGATCGTTTTCGAGAAAGGTACTAGCATTAGTCACGCCGACGCCCTTTCAAGGCTCCCCCTTCCCGCGAAAACAGAAGTCTGTGACCAGGTTAACTACTTTTCGCCGCTCGATCATGTTCCGATCACAAGCTGGACAGTTCAGGAGGAGACTAAAAAGGATCCCCTACTACCTCGGATCATCGAACTCACGAAACGAGGATGGCCTAAGAAAGTAGACGATCCAGACTTAATTCCCTTTTTCCAGAGAAGAGAAGCGTTGTCTACCGACCAGGATTGCTTGGTATGGGGCACGAGAGTGGTCATCCCAAAAGCATTGCATGACGTCATCATTCGTCTCCTACACGAAGGTCACCCAGGAGCATCTAAAATGAAGATGCTGGCGAGACAGCATGTCTGGTGGAATGGATTAGACGCTGCCATTGAGAATCTGGTGCGAAAATGCGACGTCTGACAAGCAACGCAGAACAACTCCCCCCGTGCTCCGGTCCAACATTGGCCGCTGGCAACTAGGATCTTCGAAAGCGTGCACTTAGATTTCGCGCAGAAAGATCAATCGAGCATACTGATCCTAGTTGATGACCACTCAAAATGGCTGGAAGCCATTCTAATGTCGTCTACGACCTCTTGGCAACAAAATGGTGAGTTGGGCCAGTTGGTTCATAATGGAAAAAGACAAGCGCCGAAAGACCAGGACAAAGTAAGAAGACGACAACACAAGGACCTCTTGGCACACCATCGAAAAGCTGCAGATGATATTCTCGCAATTCGGGTTGCCAGAGGAAGTGGTCACAGATAATGGACCACCGCTGGTTTCTGAAGATTTCAGATCCTTCATGCGTGAAAATGGAATCTTGCACACGACAACTCCTCCTTACCACCCGGCATCCAATGGACTTACCGAACGCGCAGTTCAGACGGTGAAGAAGTTCCTTCTGAAACAGGTGCTGGAGGACAGGGAGCGGGGTGGAAAGAGGAGCATGCAGCTGAAGCTGTCAAACTTTTTGTTCCAGTACAGAACAACTCCCCACGTGGTAACTGGTAAGACGCCGGCAGAGCTCTTTCTTGGGCGCTTGCCACGGACACGTCTTGCCTTGTTGAAACCTGGTTCTGCTTCTTTTCGGCGAGAAAAACAAAATGAAGCCAAGAAGACCGTTGACACCCAACAGGCAGGGCCGAGGGAGTTCAATGTCGGAGACAATGTGTGGGTGCGAAATGTGAGAGGGGAGGAAACGGGATGGGCAAGAGGAAAGGTGACGAAGAAAATTAGTGCTCTTACATACTTGGTGCGAGTCTTTAGTAGGATTCGTTTTGTACACTGTGATCACCTGAGGCCAAGATCCCAAAATGGATTTGATATTGAAAGGAGCTCGCCGGTGGACCACGGTGAGCCGACAGCATCCACGGATTCAGATGACTCGGACTCGGAGCCTGAGAACCACTTCAATAGTCATGACGATGACAAACCTGGTGTGCCCGCTCCTTCTGTAAGGCACAGCACGCGAATAAGTAGGCAACCCGACACGCTTACTTATTACCTGGTTGGCAGACCAAGTTGAAGTGTTGCTGTTGTACTGCGTAACGTATGTTTTGGATTAGTGTGGGGAAATGTAGTAACTGAATGATTTACCTCCGCTAAGAGGGCGTCGCGTGTTTAGGTCTTTTTCTTCTTTGTCTCACAAATAAACGCCCCGAGACAGTTGGAACGCGGGTGCGATCGAAGCCGGGTGTCTGTTGTCTGGATCTTGGTCGACGACCACCGAGGCGAAGTTATAACAATACCACTCGTACAAGTAACCGTATCTATATCATTCGTGAATGGTACAGCATTCATCGTCTTAACTACACACACAAGCACATCACAGCCCACGTCCCGCTACTTCGGAAACCCAGAGCGAACAACATCCGGCGATGGCAGAGCGGCTACTGAGCTCGCCCGCATTTCACCGTGCCACGGCGCCTCCTCCTCTTTGGCTGCGCCAGCTGGGCGACGCTCCTTTGAGGAAAACGAAAACACTCGTTTGTACGAAAACCCGATGGTGTCTGTGAGTTTGTCAGCACCTGGAAGAGAGCGAGAAGGTTATGCGTGCGGGCGTTAGCACTTCGGACCAATGGGAGCGTCGCACCCGTCAACCTCTCCCCCTCCGTCCACCTCTCTCCTCGGCGTTCACGAACTGACAGACACCGCCGGGTTTCCGTCAAAACGAGCGTTCTAAAGCTTACACATTAACATTCAAATTATGCACGCTTCCATGTCAAATCCTCTTGGGCAGGTAATAGAAATACATGGCCAGCTTGACCAGCTACGACACTCCGACGAGTGTGTTTGGAATTCACCCTCAAATTAAATACTCCGCGTAAAAACTTTCACATCATGTAAAATGGCCTTCTCAACATACACGCTGAGTAGTAAGTTAGTACTAAAGTTTTGCAAGCCTAAACATTTTTTCTCATGCATAAAGTTACAGTCCTCTGTGATTTAATACAATATTAAACCAATCTCCAGTGCTAAATTTTCTCAATACCAACGGCAAGTGTCATTTTGAAGTTGCACGGCTAATTCAAGTTGGACGTGCCCACGCTTCGCCCCCTTGAACTTTGTAAACTTGGCCCCTGCCGATCCGAGATGAGACCCACAGGGGTTTTACATGGTCAACCCAGCTCCGGCACGCCCTTGCTTAGCCGCTGTGGATCCGGCATCATGGCATGTGGCCCCCGCACAACCGAGGTGGGACCCACGGAGGTAGTGCATTGGCCGCCCAAGTTAAGCAGGCCCATCTTTGCCCCCCCCCCCCCCCCTGAAGCCCACATCTGCGCTAACTCTACTCCGCATAGCCGAAGTGGGACCCAAGGCGGTATTGCACGGGCAGTCCAAATTGGGCGTGCCCTTGCGTAGACGAGACGGGACCTGTAGTGGAACGTAGGTGACTCTGTAGATCTATTTATATATTGGTTGCCAAAGTGGCGCTACTGGAGGGTCGAGTTTACGGCACTCCAAAAAACTAGACAAGGGCACGCGAAATGGGTGGATAAAGTTTTTTCGACGGGTGACTACTTTCCGAACTCAAACGTCTTCCGCGTCTTAGCTTCGGAAGTTCACCCTCCGGCACCGTTCACCTTCACCAGCCCGCGGAATGGCCTACCTGGGCGGCAATGTACCGAGACTACGCCTCCGCAGCCGGTCTTACCACTGCTAGCGACAAGGTGCAAGTACGGACGCATAGAACCACATACCTCCAGCGTGCTGTAATCGGTCGGTGCGTCCGCTCCAGAAACCCTGCCGTGCGTGGTCGTCAAGAAGAAGTTGGACAGGCGTTTTTTGCACCCTGCCAAGAATGTCTCCGAAATTCGCCGCTTCCGGCGTTGTAC